TTCTTATTGTGTTACATGGCCTGATAACGACAAGTACCAAGGATTTCCATCGAAATTCTCATACTGTCAGGTACCACAAGCAAATAGAAAGATATACTACATTTACAGTATAGTTATATATCAACATGCTTATACTTTTGAATGTTCTCATTAACACTTACATGTTTATCCACATTGTTTGGGAGTTGAACAAACGAAGACGTGCTGCTCCGAGACTCTACACTGGACAAGATGCTTTGCACATTGGAAACCGAGTGACGAAGATGGTGGTTGTTAATGGAGTCGTATTTTTTGTGCTCCAGGTACCCTATCAAGTTTTGAGGACATATAGAATGATCGGTTACTTGATCGGTGCTCCAGTGTCGGTCAGCTCCGAATTGCGAGTTATTGCATCACTTCTGTTGTTGATCAATTCAGCAGTCAATCCGGTAATCTACAACGCAATGAACCCCCAATACCGAGCAGCTTTGCTGGCAGTCTGCAGACGCAAAGGTCGTGGACAACACCCCGCCAACCCTCTTCCTGCAATCAGCAGAGCAGCGGACAGAAATGCTCCGGCCACTAACCGCATGCCAATTTACATGGACACCTGCGTGTGAGACTTACAAACAAAAGATGCAACGATTCAAGGACATTAGGGCAACAACTGATGGAGATTCCTAGCGCAAACACATATCAGCTTATTTCGGTGCGAAGCCAAACTCGGCCGAGTACCAGCCAGCCACAACCAAATAACACTGTGTTTGCCTGGTAAACCATTACTTGCGACCGCTCGAAGAAATTTCGATTTCGCAAGCAAGAAATTGACCTTTATTTGGTTTGTAAACATTGAGCGCCATTTTGCGTCGACTAATCACATTATTTAAGCCAAGGTTGGCTACACATTTTGCCAATAATTGCCACATTGTGGGCTCCAGGCCTAATGTTCCATCTAGAATGTAAGAAAGAGACATTTTATTAAGTCTTTTTACAATTCAATGACCTGTTTGATACGTTTTTATGACTATTCACTACTTATGCTATGCGGACCTTCTATAGTTGTGTAACCAACCGTCCTACAGGTGTAGTCGATGGATTACTTTTATAGGTATTTCTTTTGCATACAGTGTTCATGTGTTACTCTTTGTGTATAACATTCCGATGTTGACAATTTACTTGTAGCAGAGCTCTCGGTTAGAACGTGCCTTGTGACATAATCACATAGTTCGATGTAAAGTAATTCTCAGTGGTTGTGAGCCCCTTGAGGGCGTGCCCCATATAAGGATTCTCACGTGGTTGTTGGCTCATTCCTGCACCAAACACCATGGCTTGACAGCACTCCGTCAAGTTTTGCAGCCACAAAATAACCATATTGATAACTTTTTGGTGCGTACAAAAGCAGGTGTTACTAAAATGAAACATGTTTAAGATAAAGCTAATGGAGAAGAAGTTAGAGAAAAGATCGCAATTTAAAACTCTAAATTTTCCAAATTTAAAAGCCACTTGTTTCTTAAATTAATCTCTCGTTAGAGGTGTTTTCCCACGTGGTTTTAATATAGGAAAGGTCACACTAAGATATAAGAATGGCGACAAACATATAGAGGTAATTATAGACATATTACAGTGTTATCTACATTCTCAAAAGTTTTTGAACAAATAATATATTATGCCATCTTATAACTTTTATAACAAATAACCTTTTCACCGACACGCAATTCGGTTTCAGAGAGAGCGATCAAATGAACCAGCAACGTCGTTTGTTGCTCATAAGTTGCTCAAAGCCATATAGATGATGGTATATTTTCTATTGGTGTTTTTGTTTGACCCAGTCGCTGACTAGTGTTACATGTATCAAACGAGAAAAAAATGCAGTGTTGTTGTCTCGATTCGCTGACTCGGACTCGAGTCGGACTAGAGTCGCTATTTTTTCACTTGAGACTTGACTTGACTTGAAAAAATAACATATGACTTGGGACATGCCTTGACTCGAATAAATCTGACTTGCTGACACTAACACGTTTCTTAAAGTAAAAAAAACCCACAAACCTCTGGGCGTTCGTGCGCACTAGCATAGTCGGTTGAAAAGAATGCAGACACATACTAAGCGAATTTAGCAACCAGCATGCGATAGCTGGGCATCCTGAGCCTGCCACACGTCATGTACTTGACTAGCACTATGCGTGAGTTATGGACAACATATCATACTCGACCTCGTGCATGCGAGGTGAAGTTTGTGCCGTGCGTAGTCTGAGTACCATCCGTTGTTATAGAGCGGTCATTCCACGGTTTACCGTAAGCGTGTTAAATGCAACTAATAGGGCTTAAATTGACTGGAAAACGGCTGCTACTCCCAATCCGCCATAAAGCAAAAAGAATTCACATCACACATTAAACGAAAACGTTCGGAAGGACATTTTGTCAGACGTCCTTCAAACACTCAACATGATGGAACAAGTTTGAAAATATTACATCAAAATGCCTTTTTAGACTCTTTAGATAAAAATAAGGTGTTTGAGAGAGGGTGTTTAAAAGTATGATATTGTTTGTTAATCTCCTTACATGATGCACGCTTTGATAAACCCCATTCCCATCTCTCCCCGGATCCGTTGTCGAACACATAAACTGGTTTCCGTACGTAGTATGTGCAACTTTTATTAAAAAAAAGTGACTGGAGACTTGACTTGAAAAAAAATGACTCGGGACTTGATTTGACTAGTAAAAAATTGAATCGAGACTTGACTTGACTTGGAAAAAAAAATTACTTGGTTACAACCCTGGTAAATGAGGCCAATTAATTAATATATTCAATGCTTACGTTCCGAAAATTATGTTTGAAATGCCTTATAGACTGCTAGAGAAATTCAATTCAATTCAATTCAAAGTAACGTATATTTCCACATAATCATAAAGAAAAGTACAATAAATATAAACAGATGTCATTGTTGATTCCCCGGACTCAATTCCCCCTTCTTATATCACCCCTCCTCTCTCACCGTTTCATGAAAGGTAGATTCGCCCTTGCTTAAAACAAACAGCAGTAAATGATGCCTCGTTTATTCAAGGATCACCAGTTTTCAATTAAATGAATCGGATATCTCATTTGTTGGACAGGAAACAGGCACCAAAGACGACAAGCTTTGAGTTATATGTTCCTTTAACATCCTCACTTTAAATACAAACCATGTCTTGGTAGATCACTAATGTAGATAATTGATTAAAAGCATAGAGTTGACAAAGCACTTTCAACTGATGGATCCTTTCTGGTTTGAGTAAAACATTACTAGTTGCTGGCGTTGAACCTATTATTAACACAAGCAATCACATCTAATTGGACGTCCGCTCTTCAAAAAGAAAAGCAATTATTGGATAATGGAGTAGAATATGGAGCACACATTTCCCATCGGCGTCTGAATGAAATGTAGGGAAACCTTAATAAATGCTGACAAAAATATCTGGAGCCATTGCCATAACCATGTTTTGATAGATCACTCATGCAGATAATGTTTTTGATTTCATTAATGTGTGACGAAAATGCCCCAATTTTCTTTCGACTAACTTTATGCCTAGAATAGCCTTAAATTAACTTCCATCCACTAAGAATAGATTCCATTCACTTTCATGAATGTTATTTGACTTATTTCATCGCTAGTATTTCACCAATTGTCACAATGTCAGCTGTTTTCATGCAGTGCACATGTGTTTGTGTGTGGTATCAATAAGATTTGCTTAAATTCAATATGGCCGCCTTCTAGACCTCTCAAATCAGTTCGGATTGGTCTGAAGTTTTATAAGATTATTTCTTGCTTTAGTCTTTAAAACTTAGGAATAAGACACTAGAAAATTGCTTTGGTTTGACTTTTATCTAGTTCAATCCTTTGAGTAACTTTTTGGAAGAGTATTTTAGAATAAGGCTTTCTTTACAGATTTCTGATGCTTTCCGTCTGTTAGTACAGGCATGCATATTTACGAGATGACGTCACTGTATTTTCTTGAATGGGATTAAGTTTGTTTACATTTAATTAATTATAACTTTATTCTTGGGTTTTCTCGGTGTATTTAAGGAATTTCTGAGTTCATTCTTCTGTTTAACTGAAAGTGTAGAATTTGGAGATTATTGTGTACTTTGATTGATGCATTTTCAGTATAAATTATTGATTTCTCAGATGAATGAAGACTTTGTTGTGCATAGTAATTTTCGCTACTTTACAACGTGTGGGCGTGGCTTATTTACTACGGTGTATGGAGAGCCCGCGCGTAGGGCGCGCAATTCAATGGTATAAATATGGCCGATTTTTGGTGATTTTGGGGTTGGTTTGCATTTTGTTGGTTTGCTTTGGTTGGTTTGCTTGGTTGGTTTGCTTGGTTGGTATTCTTTGGTTGGTTGGGTTATCTTGTAATGTTTGTCACTGAGTTTGAGGAGCTGAAGAGGAGCTGAGGAGGAGCCTTGGGGAAGCGTTTAAGTGCCCAGGATTGGGGGAAATTAGTCTGAAAACGGAGGAGGAGCTAAGGAAAAGCTAAGGACAAGCTTGAAAAACTGAGGAGGAGTTTAAGGAACCAAGGAGGAGCTGAGAAGCTGTGACAACAGCATTGTTCGTAAGTTATTAATAATTGGATTGGAGGGGAACAGCAAGATAAATAATTGCAGTCTTTTAAATTATTTCCAGTGCTGTTGAGATATTCAAGAAACTACTGGCGATCCGTCAGAGGCCTTGGATGGAGTTTAATGATATTTATTTTAGACTGGCAGACGGAAAATTGTGGTTTGCACCGTCCTCTTCCCGATCATTTTGTGCCTCGGTGTCATCACCAACTCCAGTTTTCTGTTTGTTGTGATTCGTGCTCCGCAGAGGATATCTCACACCACTCTGTACTTGGCACACCTTGCAGTAGCAGACCTCTTTGTCCTCATGTTTTGGGCATCTCCGCAAATGTGGACAGCGTTTTCATCACCTGAGATTGTTCAAGAGCCATTTCAGAATACGGCTCGGTGTCTCATTTTTCAAATTGGTGTGAACTTACCATTTGTCACAAGGTGTGATTTATATTTTTAAATAATGTTTCAATTTTTGTATTCATCATTGGGTTTGTTCAAGTCAAGGAGTAATATATAGACTTTCTTTTTTTTTTTGCTTTTTTATTATAAAACCCCCACAGCACCGAGAGTGTAGTAAGTTATTCAAAGAAAGCATGCAGAGAGTAGTGTTATGTAAATTAAATCAATGCTTGAGTGATTTTGGGTTTCCAGGCATACCCAGGTATGTGTGCTGATAGGCACTACCATCTCAGCCTGTGTGGTGTAAGCATGGGTAGTCAACCTGTGTGGTGCTGTTCATAATACTGCGTGTATTGTACATAGGGCGTGGCCCTCAAGGCAAGCCAGAGCCAGTTCTCCAAAACTGTAAGTTTATTTTATTAGGTGATATTTACTTTCATTATAAATGGCTTATTTTTTTATTATAAGAGAATTGTAAGTGATTTCTTTCGGAGGTAGATTTCTCAAGACACTTGAGTTTGGTTAAGGAAAATTTGACAAAAGAAATTACCCTATGATGCATATATACCCTACATGCATGGGAGGGAAATACAAATGTAGTGTAATTCGATTCAACTCACATTGAATGGGTTTAAGTGGAAAAGTGTTTGACTTTTTTTCTTTAAAGGGCTTTCCCTGTGGGAATAGAGAATTCTTAGGTTCTTGGTGAACCAGATAGTTCTGTGCGAACAAGATTTACCAACTCCCAAGACTCACGGTCTACCGGGAGAGTCCGGAGGAATATTCGGAACCGAGTCCTGTGTGGACCGTCAAGCATCAAGCCATATTCCAAGGCCCAGAGAAGTCACCCAAGTTCCCCAAGCCCGGAGTTTCTCCGCCTTATTGGGACCGTCAAAACGCCGGAGGGATATTGTGTGTGACTGGTACTCCAAATCGACCACCCGTGTCACAAGTGTGGACTTTGAACGCAGCAAGTCCTTCAAAAGGGTTTGAACAGTGACTGTTTAGGGGTTTGATTACATTTGTTTTGGGGTATTGGAAACGGCCGTATAACACTTAATGCAGGATCCTTATAATGCCATGATATAGTTGAGTATCCGTCACCCAAAGTATAAGTAATCCATATAGTGGCATAATTCAATTGAAATAATTTGTACATAGTAAATTTCCGTTTGTTTAATATATTTATTTGTCGTAATTAAATAGTATTTTGTCTTGATCATACACATTTTGCCGTCCGGAGTTTGATTTTCTGTCCTGCTGATTTGTCAAATATATCCACTACTGTCCTCCATGGGAAAAACAGACCCATGGTGTGACACCATTCATATCATCCCTTGCACTGGTCACTATGTCGTCATACGAGAGATTTCTGTCCCTGTGCCATCCATTCAAACTACACAGCTGGTTGGTTGGGTTGCTAGCTGTTACTGAAATCATCTTTGGGCAGGACATTATTAATTCTTATTGTGTTACATGGCCTGATAACGACAAGTACCAAGGATTTCCATCGAAATTCTCATACTGTCAGGTACCACAAGCAAATAGAAAGATATACTACATTTACAGTATAGTTATATATCAACATGCTTATACTTTTGAATGTTCTCATTAACACTTACATGTTTATCCACATTGTTTGGGAGTTGAACAAACGAAGACGTGCTGCTCCGAGACTCTACACTGGCCGAGATGCTTTGCACATTGGAAACCGAGTGACGAAGATGGTGGTTGTTAATGGAGTCGTATTTGTTGTGCTCCAGGTACCCTATCAAGTTTTGAGGACATATAGAATGATCGGTGACTTGATCGGTGCTCCAGTGTCGGTCAGCTCCGAATTGCAAGTGATTGCATCGCTTCTGTTGATGATCAATTCAGCAGTCAATCCGGTAATCTACAACGCAATGAACCGGCAATACCGAGCAGCTTTGCTGGCAGTCTGCAGACGCAAAGGTCGTGGACAACACCCCGTCAACCCTCCTCCTGCAATCAGCAGAGCAGCGGACAGAAATGCTCCGGCCACTAATCCCTTGCCAATTTACATGGAGACCTGCGTGTGAGGACTTACAACCAAAAGATGCAACGATTCAAGGACATGAGGACAACAACTGAAGGAGATTCGTAGCACCAAAACAAATCAGCTTATTTCGGTGCGAAGCCAAACTCGGCCGAGTACCAGCCAGCCACAACCAAATAACACTGTGTTTGCCTGGTAAACCAGTATTTGCGACCGCTCGAAGAAATTTCAATTTCGCAAGCAAGAAATTGACCTTTATTTGGTTTGTAAACATTGAGCGCCATTTTGCGTCGACTAATCACATTATTTAAGCCAAGGTTGGCTACACATTTTGCCAATAATTGCACACATTGTGGGCCCCAGGCCTAACGCTCCATCTATTGTGCAAGAAAGAGGCATTTTTATTAAGTCTTTTTTCAATTCAAGGACCTGTTTGATACATTTTTATGACTATTCATTACTTATGCTATGCGGACCTTCTATAGTTGTGTAACCAACCGTCCTACAGGTGTAGTCGATGGATTACTCCGGTATTTCTTTTGCATATTGTTCATGTGTTACTCTTTGTGTATAACATTCCGATGTTGACAATTTACTTGAAGCAGAGCTTTCAGTTATTAGAACATGCTATGTGACATAATCACATAGTTCGGTGTAAAGAAATTCTCAGTGGTTCTGAGCCCCTTGAGGGTGTGCCCTATATAAGGATTCACATGTGGTTGTGGGCTCATTCCTGCACCAACCACCATGGCTTGACGGCACTTTGTTCCACTTGATTTTCGTTCTCTTCGTTTTTTTTTTTTGCGTTCTGAATTTTTTTTTGAAGTCGTCGTTCTTAAAAACACACACAACTAATCCGTGGGAATCTGTTAGGCCTATTAATTTACTGCCAAATTTTGGTGAGTGTGGACAACTTTTGATATTTACAATTATACAATTATATACTGCACTTATATTTGCAATCACCAGAACAACGCCACAATGATTGCATCTACATAGAAGAGGACTCGGTTACGGAATTAATGTACGCACCAACACAAACTGTGGTTTGCACCGACCTCATCCCGATCATTGTGTGCCTCGATGCCATCAACAATTCCAGTTTTCTGTGTATTTTTTTTGTGATTTGTGCTCCGTAGAGGATATTTCACACCTCTTTTTGGCACACCTTGCAGTAGTAGATCTCCTTTCACTCATTTTCCATGCATCTTGGCAAATGTGGATAGTGTTCTCACCCACGGTATTATTCAACGGCCATTTCAGAATACGGCCAAGTGCCTCATTTTTCTAATTGTCATCACTTTCCACAATTTTCATTCATTGCAGTGGTTACTTTGTCGTCATACGAAAGATTCCTGCCCCTGTGCCATCTATTCAAACTTCACCGAAACTTTCGGCCAGAAATGCGATTTCAAGAAACGTCGTCGCAATTGTCTACAAACATCACCAGTGATAAAACTTTATGTAAAATAATCAACAAAATCCATTTAAAGGCCCGTCTTTTACAAAGAGTGGATTTTAGGAATCATATTGTTTGCCTTACCAGGGTAATTAATGAAGATATTGTGTATAACAGTTGTTCACAGTTTTGGAACAAGTATTTTGTGTCATTTCAGAGTACGTTGTTCCAGTCAGAATAAACAATAACCTGCTTTTTTGACGAAACACGTTTTAGGGTCATTGTGTTTAAATGGTGATATTCTTTGAAATGGATTGAGCAATTTCAGTATTTTTTTCATCTAAAAATAGCTTATGAAATTGGCTTGTTTGGTGCTTCACATTTTTTGAAATATTTAATAAACTTTTGGGGGTTAGGGTTCCGCTTTTTTACTCACTGATCAAGCTGTTGCTCCTAAAGTCGTTTTGTACAATAAACCCCTACAATACCATGCGTTAGAACAGTGTACTTACCTCATTATCTTCAATCTAACTTGTATCCTCGATCCTGGTGGGTTGATCCATGGCAACAACAGCGTGATATCGCACGGTCCATATTGCACCCTGCGTATCGTGCTATTCCAACTTTGATGCGAGCGAATTCCAGCTGCATGCGCTTAACCGCTATAAGGTTCGCGTAGTGCGTGCTAGTTCCATCTAATATGCTGTGAGTAAGGTTTGCTTGAAGACACTAATAAAAGACACATTCGTTATCGCTTATAATATTAAACACAGCTTTATACCCACATTTCAGTTACGCAATGTTTACTAAAAGCACAAAATATTTGGTGCGTTCGAGCGTGCTACTCTTGTTAACGCGAGTGTACTCCTCAGCACGAACGGCAGAAGTACGACCCATAGCCCACGGATTAGCATTATTTTGCATTATAATCAAATGTTGTGAAAAGATGGAAATAAATGTTCTTGAAATTGAAATTGAGTATGCTCTCCGTCACACCGGGAGTATACTGCTGCACCGAGAGTAATGCACACACAACGTTTTCCTGCACTCGGTAGTAGCAAGAGTAACACGCTCGAACGTATCAATAACTTCTTTAATGGCGTATTGTACAATAAGCATATTATCAATTACATGCACATCCGTATTTACAAGAACAAAGTTAGGCCCAATTTCTTGGCTCTGCTACCCACAGAATTCCGCGCTTACGATCACCATTCTGCGCTAACGGCGCAAGCAGAAAAAAAATGCGCCAACCCGTAAGCACAAAATCCTTAGTTACGGATGTACGCATGCGCAGAAGCCACAATTCCTTGCTAACCTGTGAAATACGCTTGCCGTAATCATGGAATTATAGTAAGCAGGGATTTTTTGCTATTAAACGGTTAGCAGAGGCCAGATATTGGGCCCTGGTCTTATTGGAACTAGTCTGAGTATCACCCGTTGCCCAACGAAGCCCTAGCTCCTTAACCAACGTCTGATATAGTTTGAACAAAGAAGATTTCATGCGACCCGTGTCTAGCCAATCTGAGTCGACTTTTGAAATTGTGACGTCATTTTGATCAGAAAGGTGGGCAACGCTGTTGATTGTTTTATCAATCAACGCTGTTGATTGTTTCATCATATTGATGAAGTAGCGACAAAAATTTCAAAGAACGTTGGAATAATGAATCGTTTGAAATATTATCTTCCGAGTAAGATTTTATTAACATTGTTTAATTCATTTGTTTTACCATACTTAAATTACTCAATCTTGACCTGGGGCAGTTTGCCATCTAAGTGAAACAAATTACTTACTTTACAGAAGCGAGCAGTTCGTGTAATTTCAAATGCTGGCTATCGTGATCATTCTGCTCCATTATTTGCTAAATTAAATATATTACAATGTAATGACTTATATTACCTTAATTTAGGAAAATTAATGTTTAAATTTAAGCATAATCTACTCCCGTCCTGTTTTGATTCTTGTTTTACCTTAGCATCTAATGTTCATGTATATAACACCCGAAGTAGTGCTAAGGGAAATCTGTTTGTCCAATTTAACAGGACGTCAATGTCAAAAAACAGTGTGATTCATCAAGGCACCTTGTACTGGAACAGTTTAAATGATTCTCTTAAACTGTTACCCTCACTATCTGTCTTTGTCAACAATTCAAAAACTCATTTTATCGAATCATATTCATAAATTGAAATGTTATATGTGCATTAATATTTAGGCCTTGTCTCACACACTTGTCCTGTCTGTCTCCCGTTGTTTTTTGTTTGTCCCTTGTTACAGTACTTTGGTTGTATGTCTGTCCATAGGTAAGGGCACAAAAGCGTCTGCTTAACCTTACACCTAACTGTTGTCATTTAATATTACACTTATTAGTAATCACTGTGTACATAACTGTCATATATATTACTACTGACCTTTCTTAATTTATACATGATTGTACATAATTGTAATGAATGACATCATTGAAATAAATGTTTCCAAACTTATATTGCTGTTTTTTTTGTGATACAAGACTCAAATGAAGGTGCCCGCTGAATGGTCAGAATATCAGGTCAAGAGGAATTCTTGTTATGCAGAACTAATCACCATGCCTTTATCATCCGTTTAAGACCGGCCACTTGACGGGCTCTCGACCAATAGGAATGCGTAAACTGTCTTAGGTATTTATGAATATCGTGTTCCATTTGTATAGTAGCTGCCTCATCTTTTTATGTAAGTTACAAGACTCCGACCTCTTCTCTCAGCTTGTCGATTTGAATCTTCATTTCTTTTTCGTGCAGACATTCAAGATTGTCAGCAACGTCTTCAACGAACTTCCCCACTTGTGAGTTGGGTATCTTGCGGATGAGTATGGCAGACAATATCGATTCCAAAATGTCTTCTGGAAGTTGGATGATGCTGAACAGAAAATTTGATTTCTTCTTGCTCGTACCGACCACGGATTCCAAGACCGATATGCCTGATGCCCCTTTGCCTGATAACTGCAGTGATTTCTCCTCGACCACAGTTTTCAGTACTGTGGTATCCACGAATCTCCACTTCTCTCCATGTATGGCACTGCGCAATCTCCATTTCCGCATTTTACGTTGAAGATTATGTAAAGCAGACTGCAGTTCTAAGGTAGCTTTAATGTCTTGCATCACAGCGATTCTTGCATCAGTAAAAGGCTGCACAGCTCCGCGATAACTGAACCACGAGAGAGCTACCACAATGACGAGATATAGAGACATTGTAACACTTTCAAAATATTCAACACTGAAAACAATTATCGTCGACCACATTCCAAGAAACACCTGTGAATGATAAACAATACGACGCTGTTTCAACGTGGAACGTTAATGGTCGGGAAACCTTAGTGTGTGATTAACTCGACTTTAATGAGCTTAATTGAACCATTGTGTAATGCTCCTGGTGCTTCACTGTTCTTTTAAATTGTCTGCTAACTGCCGTACGCGGATAATTCATATAACAAGTGGCCACAAAGTAGTCATTAATAAAGCAATACAAACAAATGAATACAATATAAACATGAACTAGACACTGACCTTCAGTACAGAGGTTTGTGTGGTTGAAAACAAAGAGACGAAAATCCGCGCAATGAAAGGAATGGCCCCGCAGACAAGAGCCTTTATCCATCCCTGTGAGTAATAAAACATATTTTAAATCACATTGTACATCTTTTGTTATGATTAAATTGATGCATAATAGCAGCAGCTGCCATGAAATATTATTTAAGCCTTCTTGATGAAAGTGGTCACAAATGAAGGCGTCATGTGTCATTGTTACAGCAAGTTTTTGGATTTATATCATAGGCCTAAGCTTTAGTTTATTTTAAACGTGCATTCCGTGCAAAAGCGCCCTCGTTTATATGGCTGAATATCTGAAAACGATTAACATGGAGTCCATGGAATTACTTTCTTACCACAAAGGACAAAGATAATGCCCACAAGGCAATTGTGGTCGCAATGATGACACTATACCCGACGGCGGAGCTTATGTAGCCGTGTGACGTATTAAATATGTAGGAAGTCGCTATTAACAAAACAACGCAGAGAAGCTTCCCGTAGTCAGCAATGGACATTTTACCGTCACGAGGTTCAGGAGTTGTGGGAGTGTGGGATGTCATTGGACTGGCGTGCGGGAAGACATTGTCTAGGTACATCCGTAACCAAATCCCACATGTGATCGTGAGAATACTAAGCCACAAAACATCAAGGACGAGTGATCCAATCACCTAAGAATGGCAAAAAAAAAAGAAGAGCGGTCAGCTTGTACACATTTACAATAGCGCGCATGAAAGGCTCGTCAAAATAGAATGTAATCGTTAAAAAAAATACTGTTTCCTATTCATCTGTACTCTCAACCGTGGTAGTGTCATTTGCAAGGGTGTTTGCATGCCTTTTTGGCTCGGATGCTGATGGCAATTTTCACATTCAAGGCAGAAACATTAGTGTCTCAGCTGCTTCAGAACTAAGGGTTGCAAACATTTTGGAATATGCTGTGGTAATTTTCTCTTTTTAGTAAAATTTAAAATTGTTAAAGTAAATGACAGAGTACATGACAGTAAATCCATGAGACACTTAATGCACAAACGTTTTCGACAATCACATTTTCATTTCACAATTTGAACAGAAAACCCTCCACAGAAAAGTGTGTGATTTAAATTATACAACAGCAACAGCGCCCTCGTCGATTGTCTGGAAAAGCTTTGAACATTGTAAATGTCTTAAAAGGTGCACTTTACACAGCAAATACTATTTTTTTTTTATTCATTTGAGGATATAAAATTACAGATAAATATGCTCCAGGGAAATATAATGTCATATCCTTTTAAATAACTGAGAATGACTGAAAATGATTGTTACACAATCATTAGCTACAACGTATTTGCAGAGCTTTGACTGAGGACGGAGACTCGCTTTGTTTTAAGCCTATGCATGACTTGGATGTTTCGTCACACATTCTTACCTTTGCAATTTTTTTCCAGGGATTGCCAAAGGCACGGAGAAGCTTTAATGTTGCTTTCCGATGACGAACATATTCAGCTATGTAATACTCCACAGTATCCAAACTGGCAGCCAAGTCAGGCTCGTTGCTTTCTTGTGCTATCAAAGTTAATGCAGACATTTAGAGATGACAGCATAGGACAAATTGCCGATGCGTCAGTCGAACTTAATTAAAGTGGGAAAATCATTGCAGAAACGTATTAAGATCCAAATAAGAATTTACGACTTAAACATTAAATCATAAGAAATATCTTTCAGTGGCATTGTTCACAATTCCCTTATTTACTGAAATCAGCTATTGTAATTTTACCTTTTTGACTCCGATTCCCTGACTCTTCAAAGAATTCACAGCCGCTCGCATAATCATCTGCCGACATCTCCACCTTTCCGATGGGCAAGTCCGCCTTGAGACGTTGCTGAAGCTCCCCGCTTGAGTACTTGGCCCAGAATCTCTGCAGGCCTTCCTTACTGTTGAAACGGAAGGTGACCTTAACGCATCCCTTCTCGACGCCAATAGTCGCTGCATCACACTCTCTGCAGATATCTTTTAGAGACGTCACTTCAGGCTCCTTTGCCTCAACAAGCTTTCGGATTATTTCTAGCAAACTCCGTGTTTGACCTTCGTCTCTTCTCCCTTCTTTTATTCCGTAGAATTTGGCTGACACGTCTTTGGAAATTAAAAGATTGGTGAAAGCAAAAGGAAAAAAATCTGTCAGGTAAAGCGTGTTGGCGTCTTAACTTGTCTAGTTGAGCTTGACCCCAATATCCCAGTTTAAGACATTATTTACACACACTCAGTCAACGACTGGGTAAATAACTGTCAGTCAGTTAGAGGAACATACGCTGGCCTTTCGGGTCTAGCAACGTGGAAGTTATGTTCAGAGCACATCTCAGCAACGTTTTCTTTTGATGAAAAAAAAATCCTCTGAAAAAAAAAACAATTCAGCTACACAGCCGCTACACTTACCGTAGTTATATGCGTTTCCCGTACTGTCACCCAAAGTCAAAGGCCTTTGGATTAAGTAGAAGTTGTTGCACTTGTAGTGAATGATTGTTTCAGTATCTCCTGGCTCTTGTATCTCGATCAACGTATCTATCTCTGGACTCCTGAATCTGGATCGTTTCAAACTACTCTGTCCTGCTCTACTCCTTTTCTTGTTTCCTGCATTTTAATTCACGACTTTATAACAATACTATCTGCTAACATCATGGTGCGCGTATTATATCCAAGGCAGTGGCCTAGCATCTGGGAGGGGAGGGGGTTATTTGACGCCTCCCCCCATATTTCTAACGAGAGTCAATTTTTATGAGGGCGGTTTTTCATGAGTGCCTATTTTTCGCGTGCCCTTTTTCACGAGTATTTTCTTGTTTCTAACGTTTACCGCGAAAATCGGCCATTAATATATGTGCCGCCATGGAGAGAGAACCACCTATTGTCCGGATAGTGCCCCTGAGTGTCTGCTTTGAACAGTGCCCCATAGGAAGATGATGTCCAGCCCCCCATTTATTTTACGGAGACCTGGCAATAAGTGGAAAAAAGTGAGTACGTGTTAGTATATGATCTAGCGACGTTCAATTTGCCCTTTTGAACGTCTACTTGCACCCCAATTAAAATGATTTTACTACGCGTCTGCAAGTCTCCGCTCAGGTAAGTCATGGAAGATATATGACACACCGCAAAAGGCTTATGAGACAGGCGGTACAGTATTAACAAGAATCATGTACCTGACTGTTTGGGTGTATCAGATGAACTATCAGATGTATCAGATGAACTCTCTTGGTCTTGTCCGGCAGGGGCATCGTGCTTTGTTTTCTTGTTGCAAGGCACCTGTGAATGAAAGCACATGGAATAAAAGAGCGGAATGGAAAGTCCCTTCTTGTAATCATATTAGTATGCGTGAAGATCCTATAGCGCACCCATGGGAGGGCCCTCGGGGGCTTGAGCCCCCCAAGAGGTTGTATTTTTTTTCTTTTGGTAATTTCTTTTTGTCCCACGATTTGACCTGGTGATATGTATGTGGCCTATTTTCGAGTAGTATAACAGGGGTGTAAGTGGCGCAATAGGGGTTTAACCCCTTCAAAGGACGAGGTGTAATGGGGACATTCCTCCACACATAGAGCAAGTGGCCCGCATGACTGCACAGCCTTTGTGTGGTAGCGGGACTGCACAAAAGCAGCAGCTGTAGAACTATCCACTAGCCGTGTGCCACAGCATACCACAGCTGGCAACTGCATTCCAATGAGGATTAGCGGCCGCGGCCATGACTGCTTCCCGTACCTATGGGGTTAAGTGGCGCCACCAACGTCAAAATAGTCCTCCCCCTAGAGAAAACTTTTTTTTTTTTTTTAAATGTGAGCGCCCCCCCCCCTCCACCAATCCTGGGTGCGTCACTATGAAGATCGTTTGCTTTGGTCAACTAATGGGATACACAGTATTTTGTGCATTCATTGTTGTGATGATCATTTCATGTGACAAGATGGCTGCTGAAGCAATCAATCTATAACTTAAGCCTTAGTTATTTCGGCTCATTCTTATTATGTCGGTACATGTGATGGCATGCCTGTCGGTTGCTAACTGGCAAAACAAACGCCATCTTTTCTGTTTGTTTAAAGTCACCATCACGTGACCACCATATTCAACTTAATTTGTAAACTACACATGTAACGTTACATGGTTTGTTGTTCAGTACAGAGCTGGTCTATTCTCAGAATGCACTGAGGCACTCTTTTCAAATCCTGGTACCCTTCCATATCTTTCATTGTATACGCCCACAGAACAATCTGGGTTACCATACGGGCATGGCACATTTCAAGTATCAACTTACCCCGGGTGAGCCTGGGAGTTGATCACTACTTTTGTCGCTGGTTTCCTGACCGTAGTCTCCCCTCAAGTCGTCGGAACAGGCACGCTTTCTACATGGCTCATTTGCTTCACTTCTTTGTTCATATTCCCCTGTTATAACGAGGTATGTAATTTGTGGCTAGACGCACTCCAGTTCCTACTTATTGATAGTTTAACGAATGGACCAGTCAATCGAGATCGTCAGTATTTCAACGAAGGCAACGCTCAACCATTTGAACTACAAAAGCATGATAGGTTTCAAATACTGAAAATTGGTGCCCCTTTCTATATTGATAGTTGCCAGAGATTTTGAATGGGGGGGGGGGGTGTCCAGACCTAGGCCAGTCCTGCATAGAAATTGCTTACATTAGGAGGAAAACCTCCTTACGTATTCAGGATTCATTGCTAGCTTCCTGTCCCTACATTCGAAGTGTATGTGGCAAGACCTGCACTTGGGGTGTTTTTTTTTCATGTGATGTTTTCTTCAAAGGTAAATAACGTTGGTATTGTTATTAAAGAAACAACCTCGAAAGTAGCACGGAGTGTCATCATTATCTGGAACTGCAAAAAAAGTTATATTCGATCACAATGTCTCTAACGATCGTGGCCCTATTAAATGATTTATGTTTTGCTGATCAAAAGCACAATATTGCTATTTTCGGTAGCGGAAAGTGTATAATGACTATATCATTTTACTTTTTGGAACGGTGAAGTTTGCGCATGCGTACGTCATGTAACTGGGCTCAGTTGAAACAATTCCCTCGATCGTACCCCCGCCCTGCAAACAGGATGCTGGAAATGGCTATTGAATTCACGCTCTGATTGGATAGATTTTGCGTGACCTGTGACCTGTAAGTCAACACGGTTAGCGTTTTTTTTTCCAAGGAGGGTTAGGGGCAATTTCATGAATAATTCAGTTTTTCCTTGGAATCATTGCAAGACTTAGGTTCTCGTTCTATTTTCCCCTTAATTTAAAATTATCTCAGTGATAAATTTGGAGAAGAAAAATAGCTAATGAAAATGAGCAGCGACGACGTGGATTCGAACCAGGGATCTTGTATGATACTGTTTGTATCCATAGCTCATATCGCTATCCACTAGGCTACTGTGTGGTAGCTCGACGACAACCGTTCTTTAAAATGCTTTAATGTATTGTAACTAGTTGAGTAACTAACAACAATGCTGTTGATGTCATTGTCCGTTCTCATGGATAAACATAAATTATTCATGACATTGCCCATAACCCTCCTAGGAATAAAAATTACGCACACGGCCATGACCCTGCAAGGTTTTAAACGGCCGTTAAGACTGATTCATTACTCTGCATAAATGCTTTTGTTTTTGTTGAAAAGCGTTATAATGTAGGAAAAACTTAACTGTGTTGTAAATTTGTGATTTCTGTCATTTGCATAGGCTCCGTTTCGAATTCCCGAAGGGTCAATGATTGCATTATGCGACGCTCAAAATGTGTCCACATAGTCCGCAATGAAAAAGAAATCACTTCCGGTATGGAGTTTGAGCATTTCTATGGGAAGTTTTCGGATAGCATTTACGCGCATTGTCTATCTGCAGTCTTGAACAGCTGCAGCCAGCTGCTTTATATGTAGGTCATATGTCATTTCCTTCACAAGATTCTGTGCAGCTCATCAGCCCTTCCAAGAGCCCTGTTTGCAGGGCGGTGGGTACGAGCGATTGAAACACACACAAACAAGCACAAAATGTTTTAAATCAACAAGTATTTCTTCGGTTGAAATCTTTCGAAATGACATATACATACAAGGCAACATATCTTTCTGGCAGGGACAATACCGACAGTTTGTACATACCTTGAAATATCAATCGTCGGAGGTATGCCATGAATTGATACATGATTATTGCAGTTTCTATCTCGTGGCTTCACTTTTCTGTAAAGGTTTAGCCTGGTTGCCTGCGTGTAGGCAACGGTTCCTTGTTCTACGATACGTGTAGAAGAAGTACGGTGAGGTTATATACCACTATAACACCCTAAGTTACATGTCCACTGACAATAATAGTATCCCCATTTATATAAGTTGACTGCAAATTTCAGCAAACTACCCGTAATTACGAACACACACAGAAACTTTGTACCTTGATCGCTCTACCGTTGCTAATCAATATTAGACTGGATAGCTGATCTAATACTAACACGCTGGCCTGATTCTCAGTAGATGATAGAAGGCAGTAATCTGTATTCTTGTTCTGGTCCTTAGCATGAAAAGCCCAGTGTTGTCTGTGAACCTTTAAATTTAATTGACTAACGGACTGACTGACTGTCCGAAAGCGACCGATGGATTACCGCCTCATGCAAGATGGGCTCTCTGCTTCCTTTCCCCATACACGCTATCTGTGCCGAGATGTAGAACAATTAAAGAGCATAACTAATAGTGGATATTTATAAAGCGCACGTATCCACCAGGACTGGTGCTCAAGGCGCTACACCATTAGACTAATAGTTTTTGTCCAAAGTTCTGCATCTTATTGTAAGTCCTTGCCTAGGCTGTTTCCTTCCATTCAATGATCTAGTCTCCTTTAAGAGAATTATCAATTCCTACCTCCAACTTTCCTGATTATAATTTTACTTTTCAGGATAGTTTTCTTCTTCCTAGCCCTTTGCCAAGAGTGGAAAAAAAGAGTTAGAGTTTTCTAAAAGAAGAAAGAAAAAGAAACCGGTCTCTTGTGAAAATCAGATGCATGAAAAGACTTAAAATAGGTATTCGAAATGAATTAAATGTGATTTTTGTATGTGCTTTGGTAACAGCATGACTAGATTAACAGGCTTCTAGTATTGAAAAAAGGCAGTATGATAATATCATGGTTTTCAAGTGTACTGCTGAAGGAAAACCCTTCCTGATTAAGGGACAACCTGACACCACGTTTCCTCTTCAACTGCCGCACATGCACATCACCAGTCTAATTATGTTAAGTAGGGACTTTCCCAAGTGTGCTTTCGCAATCAGATCGACGGTGAAGCACAACAATGTGCGGTTGCTATGGAGCACCTAAGGTGACAGTGCAAACAAAGATATTGCACGCTCGGTGACCCTGCAAATAAGGCCAACAAAAAAGTCTCCGGTTTCTGGTATGGAGCTTGCCCAAAAAGTGGTGAGGCGACGCGGCTTCCCCCCTCCCGTTTTTTTTGCTTCAAATGTCGGCCGATGACTGCAAATGGTGCCCGACTAAACCAAGTCCAGATAGGCCACATAAAGCTTACTCTCGATCATAACCCCATCTAAAAACACGTTAAAATTGTGCAGCAGCAGGATTCCAGTCAAACCAGTGAGTTTGGTGGTTTTGAGACATCATCTTTTATTGAAAAAAAAAACGTTTTCATTTTGCCGACGCGCATGGCTCCGGCGACGCGCGAGCCTTTTTTCTGGGCCTAACCCGGAGCTGTTTTTTCGTAATCAGACCGACGATGAAGCACAACTTGAGGCGGTTGGAGCACCTAAGGCAACAATGCAAACAAGGACATATTGCACTCTTGGTGACGATGCAAATAATCAAGGGTAGCAGCTTTTGTGTAGCTACTTTTGTAATTTAGGGCCTTTCTAAATTTCAAAATAGTTTTATTCAAAAATAGATTGGTTGAATTAAAAAAACCTTAAAATCCTGAAGCAGCGGTGTAGCTAGAGGAGGGGGAGGGGCGTCTCTCACATTTGGCAATATGATCGGAGAAAATAAGAAAAACATGATTATCGGGTTTAAAATAAGGTGTGTCTTATTTTTATACTTTTGGCGACAATTTCTTTTTCTCTCGCAATTGGATTTTAACTTTAGCGTCCCGTGCATTATAACGATGCCTATATATTGTGTGACGATGACCATGAATTTGGTTTTGAACAGCGCCCCTATTGAAAGACGAAGGTTCAGTGTCAGGGAAAATAAACCTGTCTACTTTTCAGCACGGATACAATTGGACGCCCCCATCTGTAACATCCCACTCACCCCCCCCCCCCCGACAATCCTGGCTACGCCGCTAACTGAAAGGGAGGAAATATTTTGTCATGCAAACGGGGAGGATTGAGGTATATTAAGCGTTCACTTATAATAAATTATGTGTGCACCAAATAATTCTGGAAAGGTTAAATCCAATTAAACACGCGTAACATCCTCGGCGTAAGATAAGGTATAATCTTCAATCATATTATTCGATCCTTTAAAATAGTTATGGGAATGCGTGGGCTTTTAAGCCTATTTTGTCTTAATATAGAGTCTGAGAAAAGGTGGGCCTATTAGTTCACCGTTGCGGTTAGACCGCTCCGTTACCCGCATACATGATGATCAGTCACATTATGACCAGTCACATGCTGACAAGCGTGTGACTTCCTTTGTGAATCTGATTGGTTAACATAAACATTGCATCTGGTGAAATCAGGTCCGATGCAATCGGATGCAAACAAAATCAAACATGTTTGATTTCATCCGGTCGCCCGGTGTACGGTCAGATCGGTCCGAAGTTTCACCGCGCACATCTGAACGATGGTCCGAAAATCTTGTGAAACGGTACAATCGGTAAGGTGTGGGCCAGGCATTAGGTCCATAAGTCATGCAGTGTGCACGTCCAGTCATTCCAGGCCTGGTTTAGGTCAGGTCGAGTCAGGTTAAGTCACGATACGTCGTGCATGTCAAGTCCAGTCACGCAAAGTCACCTCTGTCCCTTCAAGTCACTTTATTGTACGTCACGGTCGAGTCACGTCACGGTCACGTCAAGTACCGTCACGTCAAGCCACATTGAGTCACGTCACGTCACGTCGAATCTCCGTGAAATCAAGTCAGCTTACGTGATATCACACCGCACACCACGTCCCGTCAACAACGACGGACGTGAACCGACCAAAAACCATGTCCTTCCGACGCCTTTCTTTGCTAGATCACTTAGCGCCCTCTATCACGTCGTGAGGAATCAATGTTTTCCCAGATCCCTGATAACTTTCGAAACGCTCGTACATTTCGAGTGCATATCGTTTACAAGTTAAAACAATGCAGGTTCGCCAGTTCCCTTTCTACATGGAATATCCTTTTGTCTTCAAAACGTTCAAAAGTACAGTCATTCAATCGCTTTTTGTTTCACTTTCGAAGCAGTGAGTGTCCTTATCAGAATACGTGTGTAAACTAAATCACTTCCTCGTTTGCCTCGAGCAAATACAAAGCACGCAGAAAAAGAAGACTTTGGGATCTTCGTTTGTCTTGTTGACATCTCCATGATGAAGTTATTTGTGGTAATTTTGCTCTGTCTGTGCTTCTGGATGAGCTGCATTGGTAAGTCAAATAATCAGCGTGATTTTAACTAATATTTTAACTGCCAGGTTGTCAAAGACAATCAACCCAAAATATTTGTTGTGTGAATGATTTTCATATTATAATTACTACATCACCAGAATGCTCAATAAGTATGAAGTTAAATGTTGCTGTTCCGCACATAAATCTTAAGTTAAATTTAACTGGATAATACAAGGTGAGGTTTTTGTACGGTTATTTTAGGAGTACTCTGCCCATTTCTGTTAATAAGTCTGTTGAATTTTATTTTTAAATAATTTCATTAAATGTTTGAAGTTTGTTTGTTTGTTCAGTGTGTTCCTGAAAAAGCAGGCCCAGACAAATCAGCGGCCATATCTAAGCAAATATTCATGTGAGACTAAAAGATTTTTTGTTCACGCTGTCGAAAAAAACATTGAAGATGACTATGACAGTTATGAGTAGAAATTTAAGAGCTTCATAAAATCAAAATTTACACTTTCTGCGGCATTAATGGAGAGAGGAAGACCACGAACCTGTAACCACGAACACATTTCAGATGCGAACAAGAACATACTTCATATATTCAAGGGGTAATGTTTAATTTACCAGAAACAGATTTAATTTATGAACATGAAAAATATATGTATTGTGAAATAAACACATAGTTTCTTCTTGTTTGCAAGTTGCATAGTTACTTCTTGTTTGCAAGCACCTTGTCAATCCTTAAAGGTGCTACTTAATGGGTCTCATATTTCTCATATTGAGGGCCTCCATGGAAAGCAGTGCCCTGCACTGATCGGAGCTACCCTCACTAAAGATGACGTAAATAAAAACTGCATGTGAGAAGTGTTCATGTGTGATATAGGTTCGTGTTCTCTCTCCCTCTCTCAAATATTTTACTAGAACCAGCTAATGCTGCAAACACTGTACATTTTGATTTTATGGAGCTCTTACGTTTCTAGTCATTTTTTTTTAAAAAGTTTTAATCAATTCAAGATTTTTTTCCTCAGGCAATAAACAACAAAAACTGCATAAGAACACACACACAAAATAGTTTCACACGAATTTTTGTTTAGCTATGACCGCTGATGTGTCAAGGCCCACAATTTTTCTGGAACGCACTGTCAATAAGTTAATATAATGATTAATACAAGATATTAAAAAAGTAAGGGACTTGTTTCTGAAAGCAAGCCTTGTAACACAATGCTGGTGTTACCAAAAACATCTTAAATAACAAAAACAAATTTGTGAAAATTCAATTTTGTGAAAGTAAAAAGTTGTATAGTTCACATTGGGCTATAGGTGCCGTTGTGAACATTGGCATAATAATAATTAGAATAAGAATGCATTGATAACAATCGATCAGAAAGATTTCCTTTCAGAACTATGCAAGATTTTTTTTGATATGCATAGAATGCATACATAAATGAAAAGGGCTGTGGGTTTATTCGGTATCGAAAAGTGTCCAACAGTAAACAGCAGTGTTTCCCATCAAAACAAACTTTTGATTTACCTATGAAGGGCTCTGCAGTATGAAACGGAACATCTTTGTTGGTCAAGGGTTAATCAATGCAATCACATGATACTTTTTCAGTTTCACCCAGCAGGGTTCGAGAAATGAAAATACTTCTGTGTAGCCAAGCCGATCTACGATTTATAAGTCGTACTACGAGTAGTCGTACGTACGGTTAAGTAGAAGCAAGAGGAAATTTCTATTCACCATGTCCGTACTACAGCTCCGTACTTTTTGGTCACGCGCAGCACGATAGGCAAACACACAATTTCACGTGACTTGCTCTCGGCCAATCTAGATACAGAACATGTGGGTGTAATGTAATAATATCGGGTTAAAACCCTCAAACCATACTTTATGTGCATAGGAGCTGCCTCATCTATTGATATGAGTTACAAGACTCCAACCTTCTCTCTCAACCTGTCGATTTGAATCTTCATTTCTTTTTCATTCAGACATTCAAGATTGTTAGCAACGTCTTCAACGAACTTCCCCACTTGTGAGTTGGGTATCTTGTGGATGCGTATGGCAAACGATATCGATTTCAAAATGTCTTCTGGAAGTTGGATGATGCTGAACAGAAAATTTGATTTCTTCTTGCTCGTACTGACCACGGATTCCAAGACCGATATGCCTGATGCCCTTTTGCCTGATAACTGCAGTGATTTCTCCTCGACCACAGTTTTCAGTACTGTGGTATCCACGAATCTCCTCTTCGCTCCATGCTTTGCACTGCGCAATCTCCCTTGCCACGTCAGTGGCGTTTTACGTTTAACATTATGTAAAGCAGACTGCAGTTCTAAGGTAGCTTTAATGTCTTGCATCACGACGGTTCTTGCATCTGTAAAAGGCTGTCCGGCTACGCGATAACTGAACCACGTGAGAGCTACCACACCGACGAGACATAGATACATTGTAACACTTACAAAATATCCAACACTGTAAGCAATTATCAGCGACCACAGTCGAAAAAACACCTGTGAGTGATAACAAACAATACGACGCTGTTACTACATGGAAAGTTAATGGGTTAGGAACCTTAGTGTCTAATTATCTTGACTTCAATGAGCGTACTTGAATCATTCTGTTATGCTCTTGTTGTTTTCTTGTTCAAACCATCATCGCGTTATCAATTAAGCACAATGTTTTCCCTGTTCCTTTTAACTGTCTGCCTTCTGCGTGGTTGATTCCAGTGGCAAGTGTCCAAACAAGGCATTAACGAAGCAATACATAAAAATCAATACAATTAAAATGAGGTAGAGACTGACCTTCAGTACAGAGTTTTGTTTTGTCGGTAAATTGCTCAGTCCCGATGTCAATCCATTGCCATCATCATCTTGTGCATTGAAAAACCCAGTGACGAAAAGCCCCACAATGGAAAGGATGGTCATGCACACAAGAAACTTTATCCATGCCTGTGAGTAATAACAAAATGGATGAATAATAGCAGCATTTGCCACGAAATATTATTTGAGGCTTCTTGAAGAGTTTGGTCACAACAGGAAGGCTTTATTTGTGGGAAACAACCTTCCTGTATTCTGATTCGATCCTGTTATAGCAAGCAATGAATTAATATCATGTAGGCCTACTTTAGTTAAGACCGTGTCCAAAACGGACTTCCAGAGCTACGGCTACGTCTATCGTCAGCGCGCCCCGCGTATTTTCAATGGGCGTGGACCTAGACCTCGCTTTAGCCCTAAAGGGGCCGGGTTATTTTGACCATCTCTCAGCCGGGGGGGGGGGGGGGGGGATTCCGCCCCCCCCTAAGATCTCGGCCATCGAGTAACGAAACATTTTGAAACTCAGTATATGCATAGAGCAACTCTTCATTAACATACCCACGAAATTTCATGACTAATGGTCGAAGGGTTTTGGAATTATGGCTAATTAATTATTTATATGTATTAATTATTCATATGTATATTTGGGAAAATTCAGTTTTCACGGCGCGTAGCGCCTGAAAAATTTTCGCTGCGCGACAACCCCTTGTCCGATATTTATGTTTTTGGTGTCAAAAGATGCGCAAGGCTCGAGGCTAAAAAGTCATAAAAGCTCGGGTAGCGAAAAAAAATTAAAGGATATCGCGGAAAAAGTCGAGGGGGGGGGGGCGGATTTCGCCCCCGGCCCCTTTAGGGCTAGACAGTTGATTTGGATGCAGCTTTATTTTCAACGTGCATTACGTACAATGCCGCACTCGTGAGGCTGAATATCTGGAGACATTAACATGGAGAATAACTTTCTTACCATGAAGGACAAAGTTAATGCCCAAAAGGCAATTCCCATAGCCACACTGAAGACACTAAATGCGACAGCGAAGCTTTTGTTGCCGGGTGACGAATCCAATATGCCGAAAGCCACTATTAACGAAACAATGCAGAGAAACAGAGGTACCCCGCGGACATCCGCAATGAATGTTTCCTCGTCATTAGGTTCAGAAGTTGTAGGTGTGTTGGATGTCCTTGAATCCATCCATGAATACGCGATTAGACTAACCAACACAACATAAACGACGAGTGCTCCAATCACCTTAGAATTCGGAAAACAAAAATGGTATACATTAAAGGCTCATAAAATAGAATGTAATCGTTGAAAAATGTTGTTTCTTATTTATCTGTTTTCTCAACCCTGGTAGTGTCATTTTCAAGGGTGTTTGGAAGCCTTTTTGTTTTTTTTTATGCAGATGGCAATTTTCACATTCAAGGCACAAAAGTTAGCGTCGCAGCTGCTTCAGAACAAGCATTTTGGATATTAAATTTTATGGTCGGGTAATTTGATATTTTCAGTAAATTAATTCTTTGAGCGTATGATATTAAATCCATGAGCACACTTAATGAACAAACGTTTTCAATGATCACATTTTTATTTCACAATTTGAACAGAAAAGCCTCCACAGAAAAAACAAATGTTTGATTTAACTTATATTACAGCAAGAGCGCCCTCGTCGGTTGTTTGGATAGCTTTGAACGTTCTAAATGTCAAAACAATGTCATTAGCTACAATGTACTTGCAGAGATCTGAGTGAGGACGGAGACTCGATTTGTTTTTAGCCTAGGTATGACTCGGAAGTATCGTCACATATTCTTACCTTGGTAATTCTTTTCCAGGGATTTGCATAGTCCTGTGTCCAGGCACGGAGCAGCTTCAATGTTGCGTTCCGATGACGAACATATTCAGCTATATAATACTCCACAGTATCCAAACTGGCAGTCAAGTCAGGGTCTCTACTTTCTGGTACTATCAAAGTGAATGCAGAAATTAAGAGATGACAGCATAGGACGAATTGCCAATACAACAGTCTCACTCTATTTGAAATAGTTTCAAGACCCCAATACGCATTTACGACTAAAAATTAAATCACAAGATCTCTTTCATGAGGCATTTCTCACAATTCCCCCCCTTTTTAAAAACTGAAATCAACTATTGTAATTTTACCTTTTCGACTCCTCCTTCCTGACCCTTCAAAGAATTCACAGCCTCTCGCATAATCATCTGCCGACATCTCCACCTTTCCGATGGGCAAGTCCGCCTTGAGACGTTGCTGAAGCTCCCCGCTTGAGTACTTGGCCCAGAATCTCTGCAGGCCTTCCTTACTATTGAAACGGAAGGTGACCTTAACGCATCCCTTCTCGACGCCAATAGTCGCTGCATCACACTCTCTGCAGATATCTTTTAGAGACGTCACTTCAGGCTCGTTTGCCTCAACAAGCTTTCGGATTATTTCTAGCAAACTCCGTGTTTGACCTTCGTCTCTTCTCCCTTCTTTTATTCCGTAAAATTTGGCTGACACGTCTTTGCAAATTAAAAGATTGGTGAAAGCACGAGAAAAAAAAATCGGTCAGGTAAAGCGTGTTGACGTCTTAAATTGTCTATTTGTGCTTGACCTAAGACATATTTTATACACACTCATTCAACGACTCGGTAAATAACTGTCAGTCAGTTAGAGGAACATACGCTGGCCTTTCGGGTCTAGCAACGTGGAATTTATGTTCAGAGCACATCTCAGCAACTTTTTCTTTTGATGAAAAAAAAAAAACCAATTCAGCTACACAGCCGCTACACTTACCGTAGTTATATGCGTTTCCCGTACTGTCACCCAAAGTCAAAGGGCTTTGGATTAAGTAGAAGTTGTTGCACTTGTAGTGAATGATTGTTTCAGTATCTCCTGGCTCTTGTATTTCGGTAGACGTACCTCTCTCTGGATTCCTCAATCTGGATCGTTTCGAACTCCTCTTTCCTGCTGTCCTCCTTGGATTGTCCTCATTTCGGATTTTGGAGGCTTCTCCTCTCTCGTTTCCTGCATTTTAAATCACGACTTTATAACAATACTATCTGCTAATATCATGGTGCGCGAATAATATCCAAGGCAGTGGCGTAGCATCTGGGAGGGGAGGGGGTTATTTACCGCCCCCCAATATTTCTAACGAGAGTCAATTTTTATGAGGGCGGTGTTTTCACGAGTGCCTATTTTTACGAGTAGAGTGCCCTTTTTGACGAGTATTTTCTTGTGTGTAACGTTTACCGCGAAAATCGGCCATTAATATATATGTGCTGCCATGAAGAGAGAACCACCTATTTTCCGCATAGTGCCCATGAGTGTCCGCTTTGAACAGTGCCCCATAGGAAGATGATGTCCACCCCCCCCCCCTTTTTATTTTACAGAGGCCTTGCAATGAGTGGGAAAAGTGAGTACGTGTTAGCACATGTAATCTAGCGACGCTCAATTTGCCCTTTTTAACGTCTACTTGCACCCCAATTAAAATGATTTTACTACGCGTCTGCAAGTCTCCGCTCAGGTAAGTCATGGAAGATATATGACACACCGCAAAAGGCTTATGAGACAGGCCCTTTAGTATTAACAAGAATCATGTACCTGACTGTTGGGGTGTATCAGATGAACTATCAGATGTATCAGATGAACTATCTTGGTCTTGTCCGGCAGGGGCATCGTGCTTTGCTTTCTTGTTGTAGGGCACCTGTGAATGAAAGCACATCAAAACAAAGAGCGGAATGGAAAGTCCCTTCTTGTAATCATATTATTATGCGTGAAGATCCTGTAGCGCACCCATGGGGGGGGGGGGGGGGGGGCCCTCGGGGGCATGAACCCCCCCCCCGGTTGTCATTTTTATTTTAGTAATTTCTTTTTGTCCCACGATTTGACCTGGTGATATGTATGTGGATATGTATGTAGGGGTTCAAGTGGCGCCACCAACTTAATTTGTAAACTACAAATGTAACGTTACATGGTTTGTTGTTCAGTACAGTGCTGGTCTATCCTCAGAATGCACTGAGGCACTCTTTTCAAATCCTGGTCCATATCTTTCATTGCATACGCCCACAGAACAATTTGGGTTACCATATACGGGCATGGCAAATCTCAAGTATCAACTTACCCTGGGTGAGCCTGGGAGTTGATCACTACTTTTGTCGCTGGTTTCCTGACCGTAGTCTCCCCTACTTTTGTCACTGGTTTCCTGACCGTAGTCTCCCCTCAAGTCGTCAGAACAGGCTCGCTTTCGACATGGCTCATTTGCTTCACTTCTTTGTTCATATTCCCCTGTTATAACAAGTTATGTAATTTGTGGCTAGACGCACTCCAGTTCCTACTTACTGATAGTTTAACGAATGGACCAGTCAATCGAGATCGTCAGTGTTTCAACGTAGGCAACGCTCAACCATTTGAACTACAAAAGCATGATAAGTTTCAAATACTGAAAATTGGTGCCTCTTTCTAAATTGATAGTTGCCAGAGATACTTTCCCCCCCAAAATGAGGCTTGCCATCCCACAACTTGCACATAATAGTGGTAAACCTGTTACCATTTTGCTGGTTCCCTGCAGGGTTCCGGGAAACAAAATATTGCTGTGATTTTGAATGGGGGGGGTGTGTCCAGACGTAGGTCAGTCCTGTATAGAAATTGCTTACATTAGGAGGAAAACCTCCTAACGTATTCAGGATTAATTGCTAGCTTCCTGTCCCTACAATACCTTACTATTTTTGTTAGCGGAAAGTGTATAATGACTATACTCATTTCACTTTTTAGGAAAGAACGGTGAAGTTTGCGCATGCGTACGTCATGTAACTGTGCTCAGTTGAAACACTTCGGTCGATCGTACCGCCCTGCAAACAGGACACTGGAAAGGGCTGATGAATTCACGCTCTGATTGGATAGATTTTGCGTAATCTGTGACCTGAGGTCATTACGACCACGACACTGCAAGGTTTTAAACGGCCGTTAGGACTGATTCATTACTCTGCATAAATGCTTTCTTTTAAAAAGCTTTAAAATGTCTGTAAATCTGTAAAACTTAATTGTGTTGTAAATTTGTGATTCCCGTCACTTGCACAGGCTCCGTTTCGAATTCCCGAAGCGTCAATGATTGCATTATATGCGACGCTCAAAATTTAAAATTTGTCCACATAGTCCGTAATGAAAAAGAAATCACTTCCGGTATGGAATGTGTGCATTTCTAAAGGAAGTTTTCGGATAGCATTTGCGTGCATTGTCTAACTGCGTTTTCGAAAAGCTGCAGCCGTGACCTATGATAGGTCATAGGTCATTTTCTTCACAAGATTCTGTGTAGCTCATCAGCCTTTCACAGGGCCCTGTTTGCATGGCGGTGGGTACGAGCGATTGAAACACACACACACACACCTAAGCACACACACGCATAAAATCAACACCGTATTTCTTCTGTTAAAATCTTTGGAAATGACATAACAAAGCAACATAACTATCTGGCATAGGCAATACCGACAGTTTGTACATACCTTGAAATATCAATCGTCGGAGGTATGCCACGACTTGACCCATGATTATTGTAGTTTCTATCTCGTGGCTTCACTTTTCTGTAGAGGTTTAGCCTGGTTGCCTGTGTATGCAACGGTTCCTTGTTCTACGATGTGTACGTGAAGTAGAAGAACGGTGAGGTTATACCACTATCAAAGAACACCCTAAGTACATGTCAACTGACAATAATGGTATATCCTCATGCTATAAAATGACTACAAATTTCAGCAAACTACCCGGAAACAAACACACACAAACACTTGTACGGTGTTAGTTTTGTCGGTCAACCGTTGCAGTTCACTGATCAATATTAGACTGGATAGCTGATCCCATACTAACACGCTCCATGCTATGGAGCACCTAAGGTGACAGTGCAAACAAGGACATATTGCACGCTCGGTGACCCTGCAAATAAGGCCAACAAAAAAGTCTCCGGTTTCTGGTATGGAGCTTGCCCAAAAAGTGGTGAGGCGACGCGGCTTCCCCCCTCCCGTTTTTTTTTGCTTCAAATGTCGGCTGATGACTGCAAATAGTGCCCGACTAAACCAAGTGCAAATATATGGGAGTCCAGATAGGCCACATAAAGCTTATTCTCGATCATAAACCCATCTAAAAACACATTAAAATTGTGCAGCAGCAGGATTCCAGTCAAACCAGTGAGTTTGGCGGTTTTGAGACATCATCTTTTATTGAAAAAAAAAACCTTTTTCATTTTGCCGACGCGCATGGCTCCGGCGACGCGCGAGCCTTTTTTTGTGTGGCCTAACCCGGAGCTGTTTTTCGAAATCAGACCGACGATGAATCACAACTTGAGGCGGTTGCTATGGAGCGTCTAAGATAACAATGCAAACAAGGACATATTGCACTCTTGGTGACGATGCAAATAATCAAGGGTAGCAGCTTTTGTGTAGCTACTTTTGTAATTTAGGGCCTCTCTAAATTTCAAAATAGTTTTTTTCAAAAACAAATTGGTTGAATTAAAAAAACCTTAAAATCCTGAAAGCAGCGGTGTAGCTAGGGGAGGGGAGGGGCGTCTCTCATAAAAATCCGCCCCCAGTCTTTTCCAGTGCACATTTGGCAATATGATCGGAGAAAATAAGAAAAACATGATTATCGGGTTTAAAATAAGGTGTGTCTTATTTTTATAATTTTGGCGACAATTTCTTTTTCTTTCGCAATTGGATTTTAACTTTAGCGTCCCGTGCATTATAACGATGCCTATATATTGTGTGACGATGACCATGAATTTGGTTTTGAACAGCGCCGCTATTGAAAGACGAAGGTTCAGTGTCAGGGAAAATAAACCTGTCTACTTTTCAGCACGGATACAATTGGACGCCCCCATCTGTAACATCCAGCCCCCTCCCCACTCACCCCCCCCCCCGACAATCCTGGCTACGCCGCTAACTGAAAGGGAGGAAATATTTTGTCATGCAAACGGGGAGGATTGAGGTATATTAAGCGTTCACTTATAACAAATTATGTGTGCACCAAATAATTCTGGAAGGGTTAAATCAATATTTAAACACGCGTTACATCTTCGGCGTAAAATAAGGTATAATCTTGAATCATATTATTCGATCCTTTAAAATAGTTATGGGAATGCGTAGGCTTTAAAGCCTATTTTGTCTTGATATATAGTCTGAGAAAAGGTGGGCCTATTAGTTCACCGTTGCGGTTAGACCGCTCCGTTACCCGCATACATGATGATCAGTCACGGTATGACCAGTCACATGCTGACAAGCATGTGACTTCCTTTGTGAATCTGATTGGTTAACATAAACATTGCATCCGGTGAAATCAGGTCCGATGCAATCGGATGCAAACAAAATCAAACTTATTTGATTTCATCCGGTCGCCCGGTGTACGGTCAGATCGGTCCGAAGTTTCACCGCGCACATCTGCACGATGGCCCGAAGATCTTGTGGAACGGTACAATCGGTAAGGTGCGGGCCAGGCATTAGGTCCATAAGTCATGCAGTGTGCAAGTCCAGTCATTCCAGGCCTGGTTTAGGTCAGGTCGAGTCAGGTTAAGTCATGATACATCGTGCATGTCACGTCCAGTCACGTAAAGTCACCTCTGTCCCTTCAAGTCACTTTATTGTACGTCACGGTCGAGTCACGTCACGGTCACGTCAAGTACCGTCACGTCAAGCCACATCGAGTCACGTCACGTCACGTCGAGTCTCCGTGAAATCAAGTCAGCTTGCGTGATATCACGCCGCACCCCACGTCCCGTCAACAACGACGGACGTGAACCGACCAAAAACCATGTCCTTCCGAAGCCTTTCTTTGCTAGATCACATAGCGCCCTCTATCACGTCGTGAGGAATCAATGTTTTCCCAGATCCCTGATAACTTTCGAAACGCTCGTACATTTCGAGTGCATATCGTTTACAAGGTAAAACAATGCAGGTTCGCCAGTTCCCTTTCTACATGGAATTTCCTTTTGTCTTCAAAACGTTGAAAAGTACAGTCATTCAATCGCTTTTTGTTTCACTTTCGAAGCAGTGAGTGTCCTTATCAGAATGCGTGTGTAAACTAAATCACTTCCTTGTTTGCCTCGAGCAAATACGAAGCACGCAGAAAAAGAAGACTTTGGGATCTTCGTTTGTCTTGTTGACATCTCCATGATGAAGTTATTTGTGGTAATTTTGCTCTGTCTGTGCTTCTGGATGAGCAGCATTGGTAAGTCGATTAATCAGCGTGATTTTAAATAATATTTTAACTGCCAGGTTGTCAAAGACAATCGACCCAAATTATTTGTTGTGTGAATGACTTTCATATTGTAATTACTACATCACCAGAATGCCCAATAATCATGAAGTTACGTGTTGCTGTTCCACACATAAATCTTAAGTTAAATTGAACTGGATAATACAAGGTGAGGTTTTTGTACGGTTATTTTAGGAGTACTCTGCCCATTTCTGTTCATAAGTCTGTTGAATTTTATTTTTAAATAATTTCATTAAATGTTTGAAGTTTGTTTGTTTGTTCAGTGTGTTCCTGAAAAAGCAGGCCCAGACAAATCAGCGGCCATATCTAAGCAAATATTCATGTGAGACTAAAAGTTTTTTTCTTCACGCTGTCGAAAAAACATTGAAGATGACTATGACAGTTATGACTAGAAAATTAAGAGCTCCATAAAATCAAAATTTATACTCTTTGTGGCATTAGTGGAGAGAGGAAGACCACGAACCTGTAACCACGAACACATTTCAGATGCGAACAAGAACATACTTCATATATTCAAGGGGTAATGTTTAATTTACCAGAAACAGATTTAATTTATGAACATGACAAATATATGTGTTGTGAAATAAACACATAGTTTCTTCTTGTTTGCAAGTTGCATAGTTACTTCTTGTTTGCAAGCACCTTGTCAATCCTTAAAGGTGCTACTTAATGGGTCTTATATTTCTCATATTGAGGGCCTCCATGGAAAGCAGTGCCCTGCACTGATCGGAGCTACCCTCACTAAAGATGACGTAAATAAAAACTGCATGTGAAAAGTGTTCGTGTGAGATATAGGTTCGTGTTCTCTCTCTCCAATAATTTACTAGAACCAGCTAATGCTGCAAACAGTGTAAATTTTGATTTTATGGAGCTCTTACGTTTCTAGTCATGTTTTTTTAAGTTTTAAACAATTCAAGATATTTTTTTTCTCAGGCAATAAACAAACAAAACTGCATAAGAACACACACACAAAATAGTTTCACACGAAAATTTGTTTAGCTATGACCGCTGATGTGTCAAGGCCCACAATTTTTCTGGAACACACTGTCAATAAGTTAATATAATGATTAATACAAGATATAAACAAAAATTAAGTGACTTGTTTCCGAAAGCAAGCCTTGAAACACAATACTGATGTTACCAGAAACATCTTAAAACAACAAATACAAATTTGTGAAAATTCAATTTTGTGAAAGTGAAAAGTGATATAATTCACATTGGGCCATAGGTGCCGTAGTGAACATTGGTATAATAATGATTATAGATATGCGTTGATAACAATCGATCAGAAAGATTTCCTTTTAGAACTACGCAATTTTCTTTTATATGCATAAAATGCATACATAAATAAACAATAAATGAAAAGGGTTGTGGGTTTATTCGGTATCGAAAAGTGTCAAACAGTAAACAGCAGTGTTTCCCATCAAAACAAACTTTTGATTTACCTATGAAGGGATCTGCAGTATGAAACGGAACATCTTAGTTGGTCAAGGGTCAATCAATGCAGTTGGTCAAGGGTCAATCAATGCAATCACATGATACTATTTCAGTTTCACCCAGCAGGATTCGAGAAATGAAAATACTTCTGTGTAGCAAGCTACAGCTAATACATTTTTTTTATATTGTAATGGGAGCTGACATGTGTGTAGGCCTAATTTACATAACCAACGCTCATCCTGACTTTTGTTTTATCTAAAGACAGATTTGATACATTAGTTCTGTCCATTAGCTAGAAACTTTAGTTCGTAGGTGAGAAGATCATTGTGTTAACTTTGCAAAAACTTTCAGTGCAAACCTTGCACCGAGTCTTTATTCCGTCCTTCCAGATTTGAAAGCCATGGTAGGAATCTACGGAATTCTAAGAGCATTACTACTCTTTGGACAAAAACTCATTGTTTTAATAATAGCCCCATCCCTTCCTACATCAACGTTTTAAATTCTCAGTAATACTGGCCAATTTAACCTGTGTAGTATGTTTCAGAGTGATTTCACCGAGTAATTCATTGTCGCTAGATTTTCTGTTGCCAATTTTTATAAAGTGTTGTTTACATTTTAACTTTAATGTTGAAGTTAATATGTCAGATTGTGCCCATTTTTAAATGTATTACTGTCCTTTGCTTGTTGATATTTTATTTTGTAACCATGTATTTCAGCCGCAAGGCTGCAAGACATTGGATTTTTAATTAAGTAGAATAATGATAATAATAATAACAGCTATAGATCAGGAAATGTTAATTGTTTAATGGTGCATACTGACTATTGATGTTTTCTAACAAAATGTTTTAAAAGTGTGCTGTTTATGAGCATAAAAACATTCCAGTCAATTGATTTACGATGTGGAAAAATTGTGGAATAATCTGTGGTGGTAACGTTATGGAAAATGAAAAAAAAAATCCGCTTTCGTCTTTCGCACAGCGTGTTGATACATGGATCAGTGTTGTAGTCACCAACAACCAATATGACTTGAGTGGAATCCGAGTCACGAAACATTTGACTCGAGTCTGACTCGAGTCCGAGTCCTGGGCTCGATTCCTACAACACTGACATGCATCATAGATAGATTTGGTTTATTGCTAGTTATATACAAATGTATATAATAGAAAGTGTAGTGGTTTTCGTGCACAAAAACATTAAAATACATTAAAACTTTATATTACAAACATTAAACTAACACATAATTAAACTAATTCCCCCTTAAAATATTCTCTCAAAAAACAAACAAAAGTCATTAACAAGACAAAATAATTATTACGCAGTTAGGTTACTTTATTCCATTAAGTCCCCTGATCCCCTGAAGAAAAAAAGAAAGATGCATAATGAAATAAAACAAGCAGCAGCAAAGCAGTAAAATAGATAGCCAGTCTCATTCACAAGTGACAGTCAGTCAGTCAGTCAGTGAGTCTGTTGGTTGGTCGGTCGGTCATTCGGTCACTCGGACACTTAGACATTAAGTCATACGTAGGTCAGTCGGTCATTCCGTCAGTGACTCACTCAGTCAGTCATTGTGGTACGAAGAGGAATATAGGCTGGGTTCAATGGGTCCGGTATATATATAGGCGCAGGTGCAACGTTTTATAATTACTATTTCTTTTTCATCATTTAATGATCAAAAACCTGTGATTGTGGTCTATGCACGCAAGCTCTTAATGTCTGCCTCTGAATGTTCTTTCTGAATTTTTGTTTTTCGTTGATCAACATTACTCCTCCAACTCCGCATTCTGCTTTGTCAGTGAACTCACTTCAAAAGGGCCTCTCTTATTTCAGCCTCAGCACAGCCAGTACAGAAAACTGTTTTTGTTGGTGTTCCTGTCAACTTTACCTGTCAGCAATCCGAGAGTGACCACCCTACATTTGTGTGGTATCTGGACCGCGAAGCTATTCGTGTCCACCAGTCGTGGTATATGCCGTACCCACCAGTGGCTATTGGTCCAACTGGGTCAAGAGTCAAGTCCAGTGTAGTCCAGATCAGCCCTCAAAAAAGCTTCAATGGCTCTTTGCTTGCCTGTAGAATTATTGTCAATGGGAAGCACAGAGACGAAGAGTGGATGCTTACAGTCATTGGTGAGTCTGTCAAACTTTGCCAAACAATCAACTATGTCAGGACCAAAAAAAAAAAAAAAAAAAAACCTTTAGACCCTGACACTAAAAATCACGGGTAACATTTCACTGGAATCCGGATTGTGTTGGCCTGATCCTTTTTCTGGGACATAAAGCCATTTTTTTCTAAATTTAAGTACCAGAAAAAAATTGTCATTTTGATCCGAAAAGTGAGATTTTGGCCTGGAATTGTGCAATTTTGGCCCTAAAATGTTCATTTTGATCGGGAAATTATCGTTTGTGTACTCGAGAGTCAACTCAAAAAGGTGTCATTTTGACCCGGAAAATTGTCATTTGACCTGGATACCATCGTTTGCACGTGAGAGACAACCTGGAAAAGTGTTATTTTGATTATGAAAAAAGTCTCAAATGACCCGGCAAATAACAAGTTTTTTTTGTGCACGTGAGAGTCAATTTGAAAAAGTGTCGTTTTGACCCGGAAAGGGTCAGTTCAATTTCAATCCGGACTCCGGGTTAACTTCTAATCCGGATTATTTTTTAGCGTATGTAGTCTTATCATGACCCAGGTTATTCTGAAATTTAGGACCGAGGACTTGAAACAGAGGTTTACCTGAGATAACAATAACCCCGATGACCTGAGTCCTTAGAAGATTTCGTGTATAATCTCACAAATATGTGAAGAATAAGTCCAAACTGTAGGAAGCATCTATACAGGTCCTGAAAAGTAAAGTAAGAGAAGATTTGCAAAGTATGCATGTTTGCCATTTAAAACTAATGAATGAGTCACTTACTGCATGTCTTCTACGCGAATCGTGTTGTTTTCTCCTCAACCCTTAGAAGCAAGATCGCCCTCTATCAACGAATCTGAATGTAGTCAGCCGGTCATTGAGGGCAGAAATTGCACTTTGACATGCAGAGTAAACGACAACACCGACTTGGCATGGTACATCGATGACAAAAGACAACAAGATGGCGTCACTTCGACATCATCTACAAGCGGAGCAACCAGTGTTTTGTATTTTATAACGAGTAGATGGCATCACCGTCGCATTGTGAGATGCAAGTCAATATATCCTGATCTCACAGAGACTCCACAACAGCAGATAATACTGAATGTTTTATGTAAGTAAACATGCTACACAGTAGACCACAAATGTCGCAACTTTCGGTGACGACATCTTTCGGTGACGACAAAACCTGAATTTTCATGCATCATTTGGCCTCGTGGTCTAGAACATTGATTCGTGGTCTGCAGGTCATTCTGCATGCAGGTTGTGGGTTCAAGTCCAGCCTATGGGAATACTTTGGGTGTTCTCCTGGATAAGGCACTTTGTTACTCATTGTTTCTCTCAACCCAGGAGTGAATGGTTACCTGTGAGGGAAGATTATGGTTATTGTTATTGATTTAAGCTGTTTGGCGCCGAAATGGCAGCATCAAGCTATATGCTCCCAATGAGCTAATATCGTCTTCAAAATATTTGATTTGCTCAATGATTAGGGTAATAATGATGTGGCGGCTTGAGCACAAATACCAGTGCGATTACAAATTCAAATTTGTATTTTATATTGATCAGCTATATTTCTTTCGTCTACACTCTAAACAAATAACCACTGTCTGCAAACAAGTCAATTGTTTTTGTTTTTGTTTTTAATGAAATTGTTTGTTTTGATTGTGTTGATTTTTTTTGACAAAACACAATTGCGAGTGCAAGTTCTGCGTTCGTATTAATTAATGTCACGGATGAAAATGCTATGCACTAAAATACTTTAGTAATGCGACAAAATGTTTACACTTACTCAGCTGGCCTTGACTTGAATTTGTGGAGAACTATACCCTGTCCGGATCATGTCATAATGAAGTGTGGTCCAATTAATAACAAGCAACGGTGACACTGACCTCATTCGGAAACTCTCTTTTTCTGTCCACATTTGTTTTTAAAGATCCACCAACCCTAGTCTCCGGAAAATCTACGAACCAGCAGAACACAACACTTTGGTGCGAAGCCGACTCCAACCCGCCTTCCAAAGTCATTTGGTTCGACCCACAGGGCACCCAAATACCTACAGGCGATCGCATCCACACAGTTACCTTTCAGAAGGATGGGATCACCCAAGGGTATGGCAACGTAACACGGAGCGAACTGACACTGGACAAGACCAATGCAAGCAACGGGGGTGCTTATAAGTGCAAAGCGTTGAACGAGTTCGGCATGGTGGAGGCTTCGATCGAATTGTTTGAGTCGAATGGAAAACGTAAGTATTCAAATCTAAGGGGAGAAACACACTTGTTTTATAGAGCAGGAGGCTTAGCTGAGGTTTTCATTCAATCGCTGATTAGTTTTGCGTCGAAAACGACCCGCCTGGATACCAGGGGCAATATTCATGAAACCTTACTAAGCCTAGTTGTTTACTAAAAGGGCATGTAGTTGTTTACTTAGCCTAGTTGGTAACTAATATTCATGAAACATTACTGGCGATAGTTAAATTTTAAGTTTCTTACTATAGTTGTCAGACTTGGCTCGTTAGGTGGTTTTCCCTCTCCGGTTGCCTTCTTGGACTTAATTCTTATTCTTGACAGGCCTTCTCTTGACTCAATTTTTAATTTGGATAATCTAATTTTTTAAATATCCAATGATCTTTCATCCTGTGAAAATCTTGAACGTTGTTGGATATGAGTATAGCTGCCCATGCATCTTTCTTTTTCCTTGTTTGTGTTTGCATCCTTATCACATCACATTTCATATACATGCCTACTCAACCAAAAAGTACCCAATTCTAGGTACTCACGTTTACAACTAAATTCTCCTAGTATGTAACTAGTTAGCAAGGTTCTTGGTAAGGTTTCATGAATAACAATTTAGCTGTCAACTCCATAGTAGACCACTAGGCATTTAAGTAGACTACTAAGGCTAAGTTGGCTGCTAAGTTAGTAAGGTTTCATGAATATGGCCCCTGCTCCCGATCCAAGCTTTGGTCAGGCTGAACGTCTGCGTACTAGGTGGGGGAAGACCAGCTCCTTTCTGCAGAAGATCAGAGCCGTAGACTCCAGCACCAGTCGTTGCGGCTCCCCTCTGACTGTCGACGTTTCCCTGCCCGATCGCCAAGCCACCACGTGGTCGATACGGGCTGATTGAGCCGGACGAACTTACTTTGCAGTAGTTAACTTCAACAGGTGTTTCTGTTCGATTAGTATATAGAGGCTTAAACGAACGACCCTGCGTCAGTGCCAAAGCGCTGTGAAAAGTCAACTGTAGCTTATACGACACCATCGAGTCCGTCAGGATTATCGAGATTGTTGACACTATAGTCCATGTAAAAGTGGTCAAGCGCCTTTGATGTAGATGAGTTATTTCAAAACATTTTCAAACTTTTATTCACTCCAGAGCTCATCTTAAACACAACATATTACCCAAGTTCAATAATACATTTTTTTTTTGTTTTCCCAGAATTGTTCTTCATGATCGGCATACCGCTGTTAATTGTCAGTATTGGTTGCACATGGCTAACCATAGCGGCCATCTGTTACACACGCAAAAAGCAAAGCAAGGGGGAAAAGGAAGGTAAGCAAGCAATATTTTTTTGTTACACTTTTAAAACAAATGGTGGCAGCAAACATACAGGGGTCAAAGAGCACAGCACACAGCACATGCGCATGACTGCCCGTCAACGAAGTTTTCAAGGTCGGCCATTGTGTGCAAATCAAATCTTATTTTGTCTCTAAACTAATGAAAATTGGTTATCAACCAATTTGTCGTGTAAACAAAACTGCAAATGACTCAATTTACAAGACGGACCATTTTTCAACTGACATTTTGCCGTAAGTAATGTGCCGAGAAACGCTGTCTTCGTATTAGCTACTTGGGTTGAATGGGCTGTGCGTTTATTTCGTTTGGTTAGCAGAAGATGGAGAGGACCCTACCTATTCCACCACCAACCCGGAAGGATCACATGGTCTCACCAGATGGCTTTCTTCTGTGTCATCAAGAACCTCCAAGGTTCGCTTTTACTTCAAGTTCGAAATACTTCACTGTTTAAAGCATTTTATTGTTACATGATCATGGAACACTTGTGTTGAGTTGGTTGTAGCCGAATATAAAGGTTCGTTATGTCAATTTAAGACTTTATTTCCTTTAAGTTTTCTTTGGCTCACAATTCCAATTTAATCAGTGAATAGTTTTAAAGTGAAGTAATTATTGAAAGGGTGAAAGAACGAGGAGACAAATTATTATACATGTATTTTGATAGGCCTTAAGAAGCTGCAAAGTCAAATACAAATAAAAAAAAATGGAAGAAATTAAAGTGGACTACCATGCTACGAAGGCAGCAGAACGATTAATCAAGGCCCGCTCGCTGTACATGTGGGCTACACGTGAACTTCTCGAGTGTCAAGAGCTAGACGCACGCATCATATGCAAATACACGCATGTCGGACATTAATCACGGACGTGATTGGTCAAAACGTCATTGGGTGGGGCTTTTTAGCGGATTAGTCTTTTCATGGCCATTTTGTATGAGGGATATTGGTGTGATACACGTTATTGTTATTTATTTAATAGGTTGAACGTCCAAGTCAACCCAAGGAATCGCGGGATATTTCAAGGCGACCACGCCTTAGCCTCCCACGTGTTTACTAGTCATGTGCGACTGGATGTGCTGGTATCAACAATACGATCCAACGGCGCTGGAGACAGCTGATTTCTTTGTTTTCTCATCTAAATAAAGTAGTCAACAGCTACTTGGATACGGTCGTTGTAACGAGCTACAGATATTTAAACCCATGTATAGAGGGCGTCCTTTAGTTATATTGGCTCATACATTGGGAGTCCGTTCGATTACTTCCCGCAACTTACTCGCGCCTGGCTCCTCGCGTGATGACAGACATGCGCAGTGGAGCTAAGTCAACGAACGGTTTCGGGTAACGGTTCGTTTGCAAGAACAGGAAAGTTTAACTTTGACTTGACACTGATGAGGCGCCCGCCGGACGTCACGTTGGCAGCCATGTTTATTGCATGGCCTTATGGGATACTTACCTAAGTAACCGGCTCGGCGAGTCGGTTACTTGGGCCAGGCTCGAGTAAGCGCGAGAAGTGACGTGAGAGGTAAATCGAACGCTGTCACATGTGCACGAGTAAGCGCGGGGGAAGTAATCGAACGCACTCAACGTGTGTGTGGTTGTGGGTTAATTACTACACCATCCATTATCCAATATAATTATGGCGCTTCCCACAACCTCGTTTCATCCATATCTGACAGGTGTTGTAAATTATCCTTTAAACTTATCTAAAGTGAAGTGATAGTTGTAAAGCGGAAAGGGTTCCTACAGAACAGCTTATTAATTAATTTGTTGTGAGTAATGTATGATACGAATACAGTCATGGCATCCCGTATACACTCTTGGGGTTTTATGTATTGTGCAAAACAGGCAATGTTCGCCTAAATGTAATGGTGTCGTTTTTCGCAGCATGTCCTATATAAGCCCGGCTCATACTCGGCGCGAAAGCAAAAGCGAACGCGAGTTCGTGACGTCATGGCAAGTATTTGCGCTGGGAATTCGTAAATGTTGAACATATTTCAACTCGGGCGAATTTCGCAGCAAATGTTTCATAACGTCAAATTCGCTTCGCATTCGCTTTCGCGCCAAGTATGAACCGGGCTTCATACTTCATACTAATGCAAATGCGATGCGAATTTGACGTCACGAAGCATTCGCTGCGAAATTCGCCAGAGTTGAAATGTGTTCAACTTTTGCGAATTCGCAGCGCGAAAAATCGCCTTGGCGACACAAATTCGCGTTCGTGTTCGCTTAAGCGCCGAGTATGAACCGGGCTTCACACGCAATTCGAATCACATTTATGCATAGTAAAAATAACTATCGTGGTATTATTTAGAGATGCCACTTTTCGGCTTTTAACCTAAATTCATTTTTTCCCCACCAAACTAAATAAATAAGCCTGGATCTAGTCTGAAACATGCAGAAAACACATTTTTGAGAGGGGTAAGGGTAGTTTCAGGGTTATGTTTTTAGTAGTGATGCAGGATTATTGGTGACATCTCTGGTTATTGCATGTTATGCTTGATATACATTATATAAGCTTAGTTATGAATGAAATGTATAGAACCATTATACTTTTAGATCAATATTGAATCGGAGTGTACAACAGAGCGTATCCCCTCCCTCGTTTCTACAACCGTCAAAAAGTGTAATTTTTTGTAAAAACTAAATTATACTGTTATAAAATAAATTGTAGATTTAGTGTTAAGATATTATAAAAAACAAATATTATTATTATACAGTTAAAATATTCTTGCTTTATTAATTTAGTAATGTAGGGGGAGAGGTTGTCCCTATTAGGGGTACTTAGCATAATTATGCCCTTATTTGCATGTGACCCCAACAGAGTGCTGAGTTTATTTATCCGCTGGTGACTTAGTGCCCAAATAATCTTAACATTCTATTATTATATTCACATAGCAATTGCTTTTTGATCGCTTCTGAAAATGGATCAAAGAATATATATAGTTTAATAGGGTATAATGAACTTAATCATCGAACTTATCGAACTTATCGAAGTTCGAAGTTATCGAACTGGGCGTGGTTACATTAAGACCCATTTCCGAAGGCTTTGGATCTTGTCGCTATGTGTTTCCGCTCTACGTGAACATACTTTGGTCGATCTCATGCGGTGGGTCGCCATAAAGCTTCGATATGACTGGCCTCTCGCCGGCCTGCGAATTTTCCTTTCCCAAAATACATCCACATGCATGGTTGTTTAGCACTCTCTATAATACTTTTATGATACGTACGCGCGTATATAATTATTCCCCTCCCCCCAAAACAAATTGCTTTTAGTGCTATAGCGCAGTCGATAGGGTCGTGATTTTGCACCGCGAGGTTGAGGGTTCGATTTTTTTTTCTTATCTGAGGCTTCAGAGGATTTTTTTTAAAGGGAAATAAAGTCCAAATTTCATTACGTTCAAATTCATTTTTTTCCTTCAGATTTTCTCCTTTTTTTTCCTCTCATGTTTTTAGAGAAGTAAAGTCCAAAATGCCAGGGCGTACACCCATAATTTTATGCGGATATTGATTGTAGAAACAATTTACCACCGACCTATCGCTACGCTTTTGAGATGACGGTGAATCATTTGCTAACCCTCGACTATATAACCATATTACGTAGATGCTATTGGTGGGTCTTTGTGAGCATTTCACATTGTTATTTTAAGTTGTGTTCTCGCTTTGTGTCACGGTTTGGTTTCACGTCATTTTATACGCTTTGCTTTCTAAGCTGTGGTTTGTAATTAATTAAATTTTGAGTAATTCATCTGAGATCCCATGCACTGATTTCTGAACGCTTGGGGAAACAATTGTAGAGTTGTTTAAAGGGAAATAATTGTGTAAATTAGAAATAAAAAACGTAGTTCACTACATAGTCAAAGAAATGATTGAAAGACATATACGAAGAATATCTTAGAACCACTCTTGGGATTTTACCCCACTTCTTTAAATGTACCTTAAAACGACATTTTGTACGCTTTGCTTTCTAAGCTGTGGTTTGTAATTAATTACATGTTGAGTAATTCATCTGAGATCCCATGTACTGATTTATGTCAGTAATCTAATAATAAGCGTTTTGTCCAAGTGCATAATCCAACTTAAGTGTAGGATGCACCTAAAGTGTATGATCCAACACACAGTGATAACACTGCACAGAAGTGGGATAACTATACATTAATGTCTATACTTTACATTAATGACTTCACTGTGTACACGTTGGGTAAAATGGGTTGATATGAAGACCAACGTTGGTCAACATGTCAACAGGTTAAACTCTTGGGCAAATTCTTCCCAACTGTTGGAATGTTTTTACCCAAATTGGGCAATTTCAAACCGGTGTTAGGTAAAATTATATTGCCCAACAGTGTTTTACCCATTATTTTTTACAGTGTTCATTTAACAGATTGAGATAATCATCGATTAAAAATTGGAGCTTAAAGCGGTTGCTAGTGGGATGACACGCCCTATTTGTTTCTATGTTGGTAGATAGATACTCGTGTATCTATGTTCGTATTAACTCCTGTTGGCAAGATCGGAATTGTTGGAGAAAGTGCCACCTATAGTCTGATAGTGTCCAGTCCGGTTTCTTTTGAATAGCCCCTCCCCTCCCAACCCTGCCCCTATTCTCAGATGGTGTTAACCACTTGTTTCCCAGGTTTTGGATTTTTGACACCAGGGCAAATTTGATGCCATTCACCAAATTATAGTTAGGATAGCTTTAATCAAACGGTTAGAGTTGGAAAATCTGAATGCCTTCCTGTGATTTGCTTGAAAATACTATATTGTTCAAGAAAATGGTCAATCCATATTTTTATCTTTATACACCTACGGTAATTGCACTGCCGGCGTAGTTCAAAGTTCTTCAACGCCCTCGTTAGTAAGACTTGAATCAAGTCGGCAATTGGCCAGATTTAGTCGCCCGCCAGGTGCGGCCACGCCGACGAAACGGACATAGGGTTATATCGTTCCTTTGAGCAGGAACGATACGTGGGTTTTCGATTCTATTAGGTGCCATGGGCGTCGCCAGGATTTGTTTCTAGAGGGGGCAAAGCACATCCCTCCTCCAAATCTCTGTACATTTTGATCTGTACTAGCGTATTCTCGATTTTTCATTTTTCAAGGAGGGCAGGGACATTTGTCCCCAACACCCATTAAATTAATGACAATGTGACTCCGCGCCTCTCTTTCTTTCCTTTTTTCCTTTTTGTTCTCTCTCTCTCTCTCTTTTGGCTTTTGCAGGGGGGGGGGGGGACTCCATGCGATGCCCATGATAGGTACGTGTTTTTCGATTCCAACGTTGGAACGTTGAAGGCGGGAAATGGCTCCATGCTATTTCTCTGCAGCGCAGGCGGACAAAACACGACTGTCTAACGACTTGTCATCAAGTCTAGTGCCATAGTTCGCGAGTACAATTGCGTGAGCCGTACTGTAGGTTTGTACCATATCACTTCAAAAAAGTACTAGTAAAAATCAGCAATGGAGCATAAACAACAACAACGCACCGAGGACAAAAGGTCAGTCACTCTGTATTTTCTATCTAGATAAAATATGAATTTTTCTTCAGTTTGGTAGCTTCACAAGAATGGCCAACCAAACCGATGTTTCACAATCAATCATGGGAACTGGCTATGTTGCGAAATAGATTGGATCTGAAGGTTGCGTCGTTGTCTGTTAACCTCACCACCCATCGTTCTGTGTTGAACACTACCGGAGCTTGCATTGTAGTCAGGGGCGTCAATCGCTTCTCAAAAGGGGCGAGCGGGACATATACCTTAATCAGAACTAATGCGAGTGCAAAACGCGAAGCCCTTTCGGCGCGGTGGGGTTTGGGGCCCGCTTAAGGGCCCCGCAAAAAGCCCCGCACTTTAACCCTTTTTTAGCAAAAGATAATCATTTGAACATCATTTATCGAGGTTGGAGTCATTGAATCAGCTTTCTGAGCTATAGGCGTGGGGTTCAAATGTGGGGAAAAAATGTGATCCTAGATGCTCTATGTGCGATCTGAGGCAATTTCTGACCACTTTAACCAATATTTTCTAAGCAAAAGATACATTGTAGTACATATATGGCCCTGTAAATGAACACGAGTTCAAAATTCTGGGGGGGGGAGGGGGATTTGATATTGTGTCCCCCTTCCTTCAAAAAGTGTGTGTGTGTGGGGGGGGGGGGGGACATGTCCCCCTGTCCCCCAGGATTGACGCCCATACTTGTAGTGTATAAGATTAATTTGCCGGTACTGTGCTTTTTATCCACTAGAGAATACAATAAAGTACTGGTTGTTTACCTTGTCAGGCTAGCATGCAATTTCAGAATCGAACGAGTTATGCTTGTTTCGGGTTTACAGCTCTGCGCTATATTTATTTCAATAGTTTTGAAAGCAAAGCAACATCATATACCGTATGTTGTGGAAATCTGTTTAACAAATCTTATATCAAGTCATGGAATGGCAGTGTTGCTTTGGGTTGTTGAGATTGCAGTCATTGCTGGCAAGAATACGAGCTATGCCCCCAATATGTTTGTAGGGTTGAACATCTATTATTAAACCACTGAGTTTATATTGCTGTTTCATATTTCCGCTTGTATCACATGATGTTGTTATTTCCTTGTGCATGATATATGCGCCTACACTGCTGCAATGCATTACTGGATAGAATTACAAAAACAGGAAAACCCGTTGAATAGGCAATCTCTTCTTGAAAAAGATATCAACGCTCGAAAAGAAATTCCCGAGTTGCAATCATTTCTCATGACATGTTGAATGTTAGTGTAGTAGAAGATCAGTAGCTTAAATAGCGTACAACATCCAGCTAGAATGAACTCATGGAAAATGGAATGTTTGTGCATTTTTTCCCTCAGAAATTTGCCGGTTTCTGTATCCTCCATTATTTCCCACTGCCTAATCGTGACTCTTCTGGTTTGTAGTCCACGCATCATCAACGGTATGTATACTGCATTGCATTCGCCGTATCAATATGGTTGATCGATAATCAAACGTGCAAACAGGGAGTGGCTGACACGAACGTGTACAGGACTATAGTGTGTCACTTATCCATGCTACTCCACACACACGTTCAAACCACCAGCATGTACATGTATTTGGAATTGAACTTCGTCACGTATAATATTTACTCAACCATGGCGTCTGTGCATAATGAGGGATTTTTGCCTTGAATACAATAGGCGTGAACTTTAAACCTTTGGCAAGCGTATAGATTCTATGGTCCCACAGCAGAATATACGGTCCATAGATCTATACGCGTAAATATACCTATGCTCAATGTTAGATGTAAATATTTCTGCCGTTGGCATTTTTGCATTAAACAATATGTATGACTCATCAACAGGTGATACAAAGCGATCGCTCCGATGTTGATATGCTAATTGTAATGATGAGTTGCTCAGATGGCATGCACTGCATGTACAACACATGGAAGTGAACTAATTCTCCGCAGTCACTGACTCGAGAGAAAAAAATGCCCTGTAGAAAATATTCAATTTAAGGCACTTTCCAAATTGTTCCATGAAGGGTTAAATTGAATTTTGGGTAAATTATAATGAGTTGCCATGGTGTCAATATTGCCCATGAAATGTCAGGGTGTAGCATATGGAATTCGTGCTGCTTACAAACTGAAATTTTATACTTGTAATTCATTGTTTTTGTCGATCACTGGGTGCAGTTCGCAGGATAATACGTAGGGAGCCTTATTTTGAGAATGATGACTCACAGCCTTATTTTGAGGAGGGGGTACTCAGTACCCAGGGTTCAAACAATACGTTGGTTATGGGCAGAACCCAAAATCGAGCCATAGAAAAAATAGAGTATTTTCTCCTATTCTATTTCAGAGCAGGCTGCAGGGCACGTATTTTAGTCCTGACCTATAAAGTGTGTTCACCTCCGCTGCACCACTGATATAATACAGATAAAGAACACAGATGGGGAAAACCAGTTCAATAGACACACATATCAGGCGGGAATATAGAGCCTTTGCTTAAAGGTCTTCACCCGGAAATGTTTTGTTGTTTAAAGTATGATCATTGTTTTTGGAAGCAGTGGCATTGTTCAATGTCTTTCACATATGGTTCATACAACTGCAAAAGTCAGTTCAAGTTCAGTTCGATGCTGCAGTGATTTCCGTTACCGTGTATAGTGCCTCCGATTCCAAACAGTCCTTTTCCGTTTCCAATCCCTAAATTAGTACTTGGGACGTAATTTGACGTCGATGTCAAACTGGATGTGTACTTTTTCGTTGAATTGATCGAATATTGGTATTAAATTTAATTAAAAATGTGTACGTACCACAGTCGTTTAATTTCAACAAACGATAAATGTGTGTTTGCAGTCTGGAATAGGTACGTTCCCAAGGTATCTGATAACAGTTTTTTTCTTCATTTTGAGGAAGATTCCAAACGAATCACAATAAATCAGTAGGTTCTTGTGCTGGGAATCATACCGAGTTTCTTGCGTGCAGGTTTATTCACGTGACCCGTTTCAAACTGTTGATAAAGACCGGCTGGCTGTCATGGTCTTATAAACACTTTTTCAGTTTCACATGATATTTGAACTTCTGTGAAATCCGCTTCAAGTACCGTGTTATTTGTTGAATGTTCACAATCGTCACGTGCACATGCGCAATACTACGAATGAGTCAGTATTTCATAGTCCTAAATTCATACTACACTGGTACAGCTGCGATCTGCGCCTCATCATGTAGTTCAAGTGACTTGCGTACTGCGTATTTACGACTTGTACTTGCGAAAATATCAAACCGTGACATAGCTATAAAAGGGTGTTTCGAAAAAAATGAAGTAAAACTGCTGAACAAATTGTTAGCATTTTGAATTTGTTTGACTCGTTTTGACTTTTGAACCGAAATGTTTGGGTTTGTTGAACGAAGTTATGAATGGGAATGAATATGTGGTTGGCCGGTATTAAACACTATGTTTATGACCTGTTAAAGTCTTGATGCTGATGATGACCCTCGCCTTCGGCTCGGGTAATAATTAGCATCAAGACTCCAACCGGTCCTAAAATAGCGTTTAAATCCGGCTAAGCACACATTTATTCCCTTATTTAATTGCAACATACCTTGTGCATTTTACCGGTGAGGGCGCTCTTTGCAATGAGAATAGTGGCAATAGTTGTTATACGGGGACAATGTGTATTTACTTTGCAGGTGCTGATAGATTCAAAGATGGCGTTTTGGTCACCGATTCGAGGTTCTACCTTCAGCAGGGGAGATCTCAACGCATTTCATGCACCAGCCTCAATGATACCAGCGATGTTGTGGTAGTCTTTTGGTACAAGCTCCCCCAAGTTCCCGATGGAGACTTCGAGCCTGACCTGCTGGTTCGATTCACCCTGGATCTCCACGGCGGGAACTATAGCGCGGGGCCTCGGTATCAGCTGGCGCCGGACATGAGCCTCATTATCAAATCGGTGGTTGGTGAGGACGCAGGGAGGTACCAGTGTCAGAAGGTGTCGTCGACACAAGCTGATAACAGGGAGAACGAAGTTGAAGTTGTCGTGTTAGGTAAGAAAGCTGGACAGTTCTCACCCTCTAAACAACTGACATAAACTTTTTACTGGTGGTGTTTTTTGTTTCCTTTTGTTTGTTTAAATTATTGAGGGTTTTGGCAGAAGTCCTTGGCCGTGAGGTTGTTGTTGTTGCTGCTGTTTTTGTTGTTGTTGTTGTTGTTGCTGCTGCTGCTGTTGTTTGAACATCAGATAAGATTTGAAGGTTTGCATGGTGTGGTGTTGCTGCTGCTGTTGCTGTTTTTGTTGTTGTTGCTGCTGCTGCTGCTGCTGTTGCTGCTGTTGCTGCTGTTGCTGTTGTTCTTATTGTTGCTGCTGCTGTTGTTGCTGCTGTTGCTGTTGTTGTTGTTGTTGTTGTTGTTGTTGTTGTTGTTGTTGTTGTTGTTGTTGCTGCTGCTGCTGCTGCTGCTGATGTTGCATTTTCTGCTGCTTGAAGGTTGGAAAAGATATGAATGCTTGCATGGTGCAGTGAACAATAACAGTTGGTTTACGGTTAAGTCATATGGCAAATTATTTTGGGACTTTGTGTCTTAGGTTTTGAAAAGAACCGGGAAACTCTACGTTACAATGCTCTGCTCGTCATTAGGAGACTGCCACATAGTCCTACCGCAACCTACTGTCATTGATATTGATGTGGCCAGCTTCGCGTGTCGTTGTCGGGTGTAATGATAAAGATATTGTTGGGCTTTTTGTTTTATTGATTTGCTTTCTGCTTAACCCTATTTTAATATGTACATACTTGTACGTCATGCGGTTTTGTAATTGCCATTCGCCAATGGTGCTAGCAAAAGGTGTAAATAATTATTTAACCTGCAATAGTTGATACTTTGACGTATTAAGGCTGTCAAGAAATAGTCTTGATCCAAAACAGGATTTGTTCTTTGTTCGCCCACAGATGAAGAATTTCCAGCTGCAAGGGGTGTAGTCAGGGAGGGAAGAAACATCACGATAAAACGAAACCAACAAGAATTCGAAATATCGTGCCCTATCGAAGAAGTATCGAACCTTCGCCAGCCAACTGTGTACTGGTCGACGGAAACGAGTGGGCTGGATGAACCAACGGAGATTGTCGCACAGATGTTTTCTGACGAAGAGACCTACACTACCAATGACTACAGGTTTGCTTCCAGTAATAACTTGATCCTGCCGGCGGTAAATTCGGAAAATTCTGTGGGACTCTGGTGCCACGTGTCGTCATCTCTGGATCATTTGTTCCTTCAGAGTGCGAGGGTTTCTGTGAACATCCAAGGTGAGTGGTTGCACAGAAGTTAGTCTTGTTCCAAAACTGGATTTTTGATTTTTCTTACCCTTTACATCCGGTCCGTGACAGCTAGGTGGGTCTCTGTCAGTAAGTGACTTTTATCCATTCTTGGCAAGATATCGCACACGCGCTGTATTCAAGTGTGTGCGCGCACGCGCGCAAGATGTGCCAGGAATTTTCTGGGATGCGCTGCCACTATTGCCAAGGCTGGATTTGATTCGTCTTGTTGATAGAGTCCTCCACCGCCGCGGCAACCGAACCGTGTTTGTCACGGGTCTGGCTGCAGGGTAGGGACATTTAAATCAAAATGCCGTCTTTAAACAAGACTACACAGAAGTACGATTCCTTAACCGAATGTTGCATTGTGTGTGTGATACATAGTATACGCAGCACCAATATACAAATGATGTTTCTCAAACGTCCACAGAATGCAATGCACTCGTGGAACTCGAGCGGCAGGATTCACGACTAGCACCCAACAGCTCGATTTTTGAGAGTCTTAATGTTGACAGTCAGTCGGGGAGTCAGTCAGTCAGTCAGTCAGTCAGTCAGTCGGGGAGTCAGTCAGTCGGGGGGGAGTCGGGGAGTCGGTCAGTCAGTCGGTCAGTCAGTCAATCGGTCAGTCGGTCAGTCAGTCAGTCGGTCAGTCGGTCGGTCGGTCGGTCGGTCGGTCGGTCGGTCGGTCGGTCGGTCGGTCGGTCGGTCGGTCGGTCGGTCGGTCGGTCGGTCGGTCGGTCCGTAGGTCGGTCTGTCTAGTCAGTCAGTCAGTCAGTCAGTCAGTCAGTCGGCCAGTTGGGAGCAAAGAACAATACAGGATGGCTCCTTTTGGAACAGCTCACGCAGGTTTTATCAGCTTAAAATGTTATATCTTGTAAACGTTCCTGCCTTTTGTATTGAAATGTTTAATTTACCTTTACAGATGAGAGTTACGTGGGGCTAATCGTCGGTGTTTTAGTGGCCGTCACCGTGGTCTTGATAATTCTCGTTTTCCTGGTGTGCTGGAAGCGTGATAGAGTAAAAAGAACATTCTTTAAAGAAGATGTTCACCTTCAGGGACCATCGATTTCATCCGGTGAGTAGGAATCCCAACCCTTCAAAATGGTTGGTTTTGCTTGGGTAGTTTTACTTTTTTTTAATTCATTACTGGTTAACCCACTTAATTGGGAAGCCCAGGAGTCTCCGGTGGGGCCTAATAAAGAGATGGCAACGTGAAAAAGTTACAGTTGGCGAATTTGGAATGGAAGTAAAGCAGAACAATATTTCGAGGACAGAGACTGAAAACCCAATCCACATATATACCAGGACCGGAACCAAACCACAGTCACAGCGGTGGAAGGCGAGGAGCCGCTCTTCCAACCCGAAATCCCCAACAAATTTCTGTTAAAGGGAATAAACAACATTGCTCGCTGCAATTTGTTTGGTAATAAATGAACTGGGAGGTTTTAGCACATATTGTTAAACTGACTTGTTTCACGTTTTGGGCTCTGAGATGCTGGAAAAACCAAGAAAACAAATCATGTTCCTGTAGTCCGGTTCCCTGACCCCATTTAAGATGAAACACAGCAATTTATAGACTTTTGAGAATAGAGAGGTCAGAGAATCATTCTGGCTAGCTTGTTTCCCGCCACAGGTGTGTAAATATGGATAATTTGGCTCAGTTTTTCTAAAAGGCCAGTTTTTTCCAACGCTGGTCAGCCGACCAGCGTTGGAAAATTTCAACTGTTCTTGTAAATGTCAGCACACCAGGAGTCACGATGTTACAGGATGCTTTAGTCTGTCATTCCTTACAATCCAGTGAGGTATTTTGTGATATTTAATCATTTCGTTTTTGATGTTTGCAAATGTTGTAACTTCCCTTTAAGTTATTAGGATATTGTTTTATTTTATTCGTTTCTGTTTTATACAACGCAGGAAACCAAGACGAATGGACGCTCGAAACCTACTTGGGCCCAAAGGGAAACAACTTTGGAGGTAAATTTTCGTCCCTGAAGAGTGTCGCCAGTTTTAACAAGTCGTTCCTCGCGGTTCTTGATGACAACGGTTTGCATACATTCTCACCTGACCTCACTCGCCTGGATCACGTGACCAAGCTGAAAGCTTCGCCTGAAAACTACGTCACCATGGTTACCCACACTGACGGTCTTCTTCTGCTTTTGGGCGCCAAAAACGGAGACGTCACCAGCGTGAGTTTCAAACCTTTCAGTGAAAAGCTGTTCTGTTCGCTGTCGGAAGAAAAAACTGACCCAGACGAGAAAAACGAAGACTCTGATTCCATCAAAGAACCAAAAGGTACTAGTAGTGAGAGTGCTGCTTTAACCATGGTATCGCACGAGCTCACTGACCTCGCTGTAGATGCAAACGGCGACGTGTATGCAGGAGACAACAGCAACCACACTGTCACCATTTTCACCCCAGGCCAAAAGGGTTGCTCAAAGCGATCCTTCGAGTTAGATTTTCCCCCTAAAATACTAGCTGGGGGCTCGGAGGGAGAGATATTTGCGCATAACGGTGACCATGGAAGCCCGATCAAACGCATAAAGGTCAATGATAAAAACGTAGAAACGGTTTTTCTAGACGTAAAAAACTCGCCTGTAAATCCAGTCAATGTTCTTGTAGACAATTCGCATGTGTTCATCGTCAGTGATACTAAAGTCAACGGGCAGATGGAGATCCTGCAGTATGACAACAAGGGCAATTTCTTGCGGCCGTTTGTCAAACCCTGGCTGGGTATTCAGGGGATGTGCATGTTCGCGTCTGGAGAGAGACTAGCGTTGTTCGATCACTCCATCGTTAGGATATACAGGAAGCAGCTTGCTAAGAACCGCGTGGTATAAGCGACAGAGTAAGCGTGATGGAAGATGGTGATAGACTCAATTCCAGCCACGATTGATGGTCTTGATAACTAAGACTGTTACATGAAATGGCTCTGAGCAAAAAGGTATAAAACGGAATTTGTTTGTGACCCCAAATGATTCAGTAATGAATTCCAGTGGGATTGCGTGCAATCACTGAGGTGGGAATGCAATATAATTAATAAATAAAGCGACAGGGTATAAACAAAAGCTAAACCCAAACCCTTAAAAAGTATTCAATATTTTTTACTTTTAAATCGAGATTTTAAAGTTGGTGATGTTTGTTGTGACGAGAATTCTTGAAATCGCATATTTGGACAGAAGAAACTCATTGTGTTTAATGGTGATATTCTTTGAACGGAAGGGGCAATTTCAGCTTTTTTTTTAAATCTAAAAGTAGTTTATGAATTTGGTTTTCCAGTCATTGTTATGTTTGGTGCTACATTTTTTTTTAAATATGAAATATAATTTTGGGGGTTTGGGTTCCGCTTTTTGTGACTGATCCTGTAGTTTGCTTATTCAAAAAATGGAAATTAAATTTTCTTTTTTTTAGAGAAGTACATGTTTTGCACTCGCCCTGTTTTTCGCTGTAAAACGCAATCACATTTAACGCAAAGTCACATTAAAAACGTTAAATCGAGCAAACAGTGAATAGTCTATGAACACAATTAGAAGTAGTCATTTAACGGTTAACATTTAACAGTTATTTCAAAGAAAATAAATCTATCGGAAAGTACTTTTTTAAGTTTTAAAAAAGTTATTGTAAAGCAAATAATTATACTGGAAAGTGCATTTTAAGTTTCAACTGATGATGTCTTGTATATTGAATAACTTCGTAGAACAATAGTATTTCATGTTTCACTTTGTAACACTTGATTTTAATCAGATGTACATTCTTAAAAAAACAAACGAATGAGATACATCCACTAAAATTCATCATATAATGCTTGAGCTCTATATACACACGGTACAGCGCAGATACAGGAAATTGAACAGGAATTATATTAGCTGAAATTGTCAAATTTGCACTGGCAATCATTTAAAACAATACAAAATACAAAAGGTTTATCGTGACTTGTTCGTATCCAAACATTGTATCCAAATATTGATTTTATGTGTCTTATTATACATGCAATAATGTTTGTACCGACTAATTGAAATGTATTTTATTTTGTTCGTTTGATATTTTGGTAGTGCCACCACATACAGGTGGACCCAGAGAAACGCATACTGCCACAAAAACTATATATTGTTGTTGATGTTTGTTTTTTAGTTTCACAGGGGGCAGTTTGCAGACCAGTATTAACGTTCTAACCATACCCTACTTGTGGGGTGATGTTCCTTTCAGAACATATCATCCCACTATAGCTACAATAAAAAAAACATCATCCCAGAAAAGAATCTTTAGAAAATGGGATAATGGGAACAGAATGCTATCACCCCACTATTCCGTCTGGCTGGGTTGTCCGCACGCCTATGTCGGTCCTTGTTTGCTCCAAACATTATTCGCAAAGAACCCATTTTCATGCAATATGAAACACACTGATTTATTTAGCTTCAACATCAGAATTAAACTTTTTGATGCTCACTCGCAGACTTCAGTCTTTCCTCTGTCACTGTCTAGACAACTTAAAATAGTGTCAACAACGTTTATACGGGGGCCGCCCGATAGTCTATAGGTCCGATAGTTTCTTTAGTCCGAAGGTTCCATAGTCCGAATGCACAGAATTTCCATAAGAGGGGGTTCGTTAGTCCGAAAATGAAATAAGGTTTGTTAATCCGAACATTTGATGCAATGGTCCGAAGGTTCATTAATCCGAACATTTGATGCAATAGTCCGAAGGTTCATTAATCCGAAGGTTCATCAGTCCAAATGTTCATTTGCCCGAAGGTTCGATAGTCCAAATTTAGAAGAAGATTAATCAGTCCGAAGGTTCAATAGTCCGAAACGAAAATAAGGTTCAATAGTCCGAAGGTTTATTTTTCCTATTGTCAATTCGGACTATCGAGCCCTACCGTATTTTCGGACTATCGAACCTTCTTTTCGGACTATCGAACCTTATTGTCGATTCGGACTTTCGAACCCTATCGTCTATTCGGACTATCGGACTTTCGGATTAATTAACCTTGTTCTATTTTCGGACTAATGGGCCCTTTGGACTATCGAACCTTCGGACTAATGACCATTTGGACTCAAGAACCTTCGGACTATCGAACCTTCGGACTATAGGGCTGTAATCGTTAATACAGCGCATGTAACAATTTATACAATGTATAACATGGTCGAACCTTCCCGCTAACTGAATAAAAACTGAACTAAATAAGCAGTATGTTTATATAGAGCCTATATCCGGATCGCACGCTATTAGTCTGACACAAAGAGCTATATGTTCGCGTTCCCTGGAAACAAATAGTCTGAGTATGAATAGTCTGAGTATCACCCCTTATCCACTGAGACAGTCTCCGTTTCATGTCCAATATATGAAAGCATTCAAAATTATGTGATCTTTGGACTCGGACAATCGGAGTCGACTTTACTAAATCGTGAAGTCATTTCATTCCCAAATCAGGACTAACAGTTATTTGATTGATTAATTCGAATGCAGTAATTTTGTAATACAACAACAGCTGAGCACGAATCGCGGAACTTAATACAAAGCACGTGACGCAGCCTTTTTTCGCTTTATCTAGGCTCTTTTTTAATCCTTTTGTCGATTATGCGTCAACAGATTCGCTGATTAATTAATCAAGACCCTGCCTCTTGACCTCCTAGATTTTGACCAATCAGGGCCGCTTTCTATATCGGGTTTCTGTCATTCACCCGTTTCACGTCATGGACAATGTATAAAAAAAAACGTGTCACGCGCTCTGTATATTGTTACGCGATATCGCGCCTGGTTGTTGTTGTATTACAAAAAACTGCATTCGATTTGACTGATCAAACCATTTTGTCCTAATTTAGGAATGAAATGACGTCACGATTTAGTAAAGTCGACTCTGATTGGCTGGCGCGTGGCTTGCATATATCTGCATGTTTAGACATATCTGACGTTATACAGGACTTGGCTCCCTGGATAACGGGTGATACTCGGACTAGTCTATGAAGCAACAACTGGCGAATGACCAAAACCCAACATAGAGAGCGCCCACTGATTGGTCAAAACCTAGAAGTCAATATGTGGTTGTCTTGCATATTTATTCAAGGATTATGCTTAAAAATAACAGGTCTTAGCTTTCGCCACGGTCTATTACATAGACTAGATCATGACTGGATGATTATAAAAGGCTCCAAAAAGTGTCCATTTCAGATGCATCCGGGCACAGCTAGCAATTCTATGACGAAGGCCCCCTTAAATTATTGTGCTAGCTACTGTATATATAATGCGTCACGAGGCAGTACAGTTATGTACAACAGTTCACTGACTTTTTGACCGACCGACCGACCAACCCACCCATCACCCACCAACCCACCGACAGACCCACCCACCGACCCTACGACCGAACGACCGACCGACAAACCGACTGCTTACTCCAAGACTAACTCCAAGACTGACTGTCTGACAGACTGAATGACAGACTCCCCGTGACTTCTGACTTGGCATGGTGGTTGCATAAGTGTATTTTAACTCCGGAAAATTTCGCATCGAATGTTTCGCGACGCGAAGATAAATGCGAATATCCGATCTGACGTCAGGAAACTTGCTGCAGAATTCGCAGGAGTTGATGAAGCGTGTTTTGAATCTTTCCAAATTCGCAGGGGAACCAAAAGTGAGGTGACGTCAGAGATTTGCGTATAGGGTAATTTTAGAACATGACGGGATGCTTTCTAGCTCCAAACACTGTTTTTGTATTATGTAGTTTTGGTCATAATGATGAACGCATTCAGCTATACCGTGTAGCTCTGATTGACAATAAACCCTTTGTGTTGACGTTTACTGCGGGTTCACAATGCTTCCGTGTTTCGCAATAAATCCAGGTTTTCCCCATGGCAAGTGAGCAACACGTTTAGACTCGTCAAAGATCTACCAGTGAAGTCATCCGGGCAATCCTAACTACAGGGCCTGCGTTATTCGTTGCTCTATCTGCCCCAGTGAGTAACGAAGAACTGCTTCAAGTTTAGGCGGGCTATTTTTGGATGCATGACATCATCTCTGATGCTGTTGCACTGTGCAGACGCTGCTCCATCAGCTCACTTCATTTCAGGCATTTCACACCCATGGCCACAGTAGAAAGAAATGTTTCATCATACTCAATAGAACAGTTCACAAATCATTTCTTGGTGAAATTGCAATGTGCTTGTCACCGCACCAGTTAAAATCAGTTGGGCTTTCGTAGACTACATTCCAAACAAAGAGAAACCGTTGGTTTACAATTGGCAAACCAAAACGTGTGTTCACGACGTTTGGCCCGTTGTAGTGCGCGTAAACAAAACTATGGTTACATTGAGTTTAATCCTCCAAGTAACGTTGCAACTTCGTCAGCGTATTATGGTTGCAATCCGAATGCTGGAGCAGATTTTTTAGAGCAGAGTTTCGTTTGATACTCGAACGACTCATCAGTACGATCTCTTAGTCCCAAGACTGTATTCTGGCATCGATTGACTGAACGAGTAGACTTACGAGCTTTTTGATGAGAGAAACAAGTAACTCAATGAGATGACCACAATGACCACTGTTTATTTGAATGGTAAGTTAAACAGAAATCTTTGCTTAATTGCTCATTGTAATGCATTTGTTACTTGAATTAATAAAAAAAACAACGATGAGGTGTTTTAAGTTCCTCAAATGCGTCACACTGACTTTAAAATAATCTGATACGTTCCAGTTATACGGCTTTTTCTAATACGTCCCTTCTTCGATTTACCTTGAATATTATCACTTAACGTCATTCTTGAAGTTAATGTACAACATTTGCCAACATCAACAAACTACTTAACTGTAAAATTATGTCACCTGACATGCTGTTATTTTTAAGAAAACGATGGTTGGCCAACCATCGTTGGGCAAAAATTACTTGTTTTCCCAAACCACTGCCCCTGATTCACCAAATGTAATTAGTTCACGTTCTGTGAACAGGTGCAAGCATGCAGCTAGTCTGGTTCCATTACCCGAAATTCCCTGACGTCTATAATTTGTTCGGTTTCGTCTAAAGTAGGTCAGGGGAACCAGACTACAGGAACAGTATTTTCCCTGTTGCCCAGCATCCATGAACACAAAACTTTAAACAGGTCAGTGTATTAATATCAGCTACAAAATACCAATCTCAAAGTCAATCCATGTCTGAAAATTACTGTAAAATCACTAGTTGTATATTACATTAGTTAGAAGGACGGGGAAACTTTACTTTGAGATTTTTCATTACACTTTATACCTCAGAATGGTGGCTGCAGCAGCTAGAAGGAGATCTGGGAAAA